ATTCTTTGGGTGACTATTATAAATAATCTTATAAAATATGTGTCCTGTATTATATTGTCTCCCTTGCAAAATATGCCACAAACCAACACACTACCAGAGATGTCTTTTTGGGTCAGAAAAAAAGTGGGACTGTCACAGTATTAGTGCCAATATAGTATAGCAGACAAATCACCATGATGGAATCCTCACTTACAAAAATGAGGACTTGGAATGGATCCTTGAGTTTTTCCTTTACATGCTTGCTTTTTGAGTAGGTAAAACATTCTTGTGTCTAAAAATTCAAAAGGTTCCTAAGGATGCTTCTCCCCTAGCCACTGGTTCAGTTCCCCACCCGCGAGGCAAGCAATGTTCTGTGTATTTTTCCAAAGATACAGAAACAAAAGAAGCTATATGTGGCCATGGATCCTTCCAGAGCTCATGGACCTGTCATGGTGTGGATAAAGAATGGCTGAGTATAGAAAGCAGAGCTGTCTCAACCCATTTATTAACCACTTCAAATCCACAGGGAGCAAAGAGATTCAGGTTGGGAAGGCAAGGCTTACTTGGTGTAAGCAGATAAAATCTAGCACTCATTAGAAGAAGAGCTGCTGTGTATCTAGGTTGCATTTAGAGGCCAAGATAATGACTCATAAGGTGTTTATGACTCCCAGGGCCGGCTGGTGTTACAGTACACTGTCTTTTACGTGATCAATTTTCTAAATGTAAGACCTTACCATATTTTTGTCTTATTTTGATTAGAAACAATAATGTTTACCAAAACTTTTTCCTCTTAAAAGAAATACTGAAAACAACTTGAAAATCATAACCATGATTTTTTTTGTCTCCAAAGCCAAAAATATTTCCCTGCTGGAATGCAACTCTAATGATGTCATATAAATTAATGGAAAAAATAGCAGCAGACATCTGCTTTACTGCCAAGATTTAAACACTACTTAAGCAAGGCATATTTATTTTGGTGACATGAATATTTAATTTTTCCTTATCTGGAAAGACATTTTAAAGAATGTTAATCAATATTTTTTGGGAAATTCTTTGAAGTTTACCCTTAACATCAGCTGTTATCTCCCCAAAGCTTATCTACTTGCATCTACTAATATTTACTTAAACAATGGAAATATCAACAGACTGTTTCATGGAACACAACAAACATATCCTAAATTTCTCTAAATGACTAATACATAGAAATAGCCAATAGACTTCTGAAGGGGAAAAATATTTCATTATATATGAAAGCATACTGCAAATTTACTCCAGCTAAACCACGTAACACAGGCAGAGATGGATAAACAAGGAATCCAGAAACTGATTTGTGTATATGTGAGAAAAAAATCATGTCCAGGAGGAAATAAATGGCACTAAGGAAATAGACTATTGACTCAGAAAAGGTAAAGTTTGTTAAATGTCTTTTAAACATTATTTAATTTATTTTTACAGTGTTGGAGTTGAACCCACAGTCTTTGCACTGAGCTACAAGGCAAAGCCCTTTTCTTTAATATTTTGAGACAAGGTCTTGATAAGTTGCTAAACTGTCCACTTCTGGAACTTGGGACTCTCTTGCCTTGACTGCCCAGAGTGCTACGATTACAGGTGTGTGCCACCATGCTCAGCACTTTTTTGAGACAGAATTTCTCTATGTAGTCCAGGCTGGTCTAGAACTCAGTCTGCAGCTCCAGTTGGTCTGAATTTGAGGTTCTTTACTTAAGCCTTTGGAATACTGGGATTACAGGCTTGTGCTACCATGCCTAGCCAGTTTACTGTCTTGAATCATATACAAAAATAAATGCCCAATGATTAAAATTTCTAAGTACAAAAAAGCATATGTAAAAGCTAATAGTTTTATAATCTTAGCCTTTCTGTATAAGACACAAAAAATGAAATAAAAAATAGATACCAGTGTGCAAAAATTTAAACAAAAGGTCAATAAAAAGTTGAAAACATCATGCCGTATGTTATCAAGGGCTAACATATGTAATATCTAAGGAGATTTTACTGATCCGTATAAAAAAGACAACCCAAGGAAGGCGTGGGGTGCGTACTTGTAATCCCAGCTACTTGGGAGGCTGATGCAGGCAGATCTTGAGTTTGAGGTCAGCAGGGGCAACTAAGTGAGACCCAGTCTCAAATAAAATTTATAAAAGGGCTGGAGATGCAGCTCCATAATATAGCACTTGCCTAGCATGCACATGGCTCTGGATTCAATCCCCAGTGCTACAAAGATTGGTCAAAAGTTTTGAATTGGCAAATCAAAGAACAAAAATAAATGATCAGTAAATATAAGTAAAAATGTTCAACCTCACAGAAATCAGTGCAACAGGGTGTTACTGTTTATCCTATGGAATATAAGTCTCTCCCCCTAGATGCTGATGGGTGAGGGGTATCTACTATGGCTCAGTAACTAAGTGCTCTTTGGGATGATAACTAAGTATTTTCTTTCAAACTGTAAAACATCTACCTAGTGACCCAGCAAATGTCCTTAATGGCTTTACCACAGAAAGAATGGCATGTACACAGAGATATGTGCGTGGCAGTGCTTTGATAATGACAAACTAAAGCCCTTACAAACATCTGTCCGTCGTGTAACTGCTCAATAATTCATAGAACATTATCTATGGGATGCTGCAGAGTCATTCAAGTGGATGAGATAGATACTAGTAAGGAGGGACTTTCTAACACTGTGCTTGTGTGTGAGAGAGGGTACATAAACACATGTGTATGCAGGCAGGTACTATGTGCATGCATGTCAGTAAATACATAGAAAAATCTCTAGAAGGCTCTAGCTCAAACTTTTACCAGTGCTTATCTGTGAGAGTGAAAATCAGGGTGGGCAAAGAGTGAAGGGGGTTAATTTTTACTTAATAAACTTTTGTGCTGTTTGAATGCTTAACTGAAATATATTACTTTTATACATAAAAAGACATACATAAAAAAGAAAAGGCCCTGATTTCTCCCTGTTCCTTAATTTTGTTGTCTTTCTTCAAAGAGCAAGACAGAACAAAAACAACCTCTTTCACTCTATTTTCATAAAATGAGGACACCCCTAAAAATGAACTGTTTTTATTTGATTACTTTCTGCTGTGCTTTATTTGCTCTTCACACTATCAGATCAGACACTATGATTTCTAGGAAAACTATGCAGAAGCGGATGCGGTACTATAGCTCAGGGGTGTGGACTTAACCTCTCAAACACAGGCCATTTGCCAGTTGCCCAGAGGCCCCAGCCAGCGTGATGTCACCATAAATATCCAACTTCTTTTTTATGATCAACTTCAGTGGAAAAGTGCAACTTCAGGCATCACATTTTAGCCTGTACTTTTCCTGACCCCAGAAGTGGCAGGGAGAGGTGAAGTCTGGCTTGCTAAGGGCATGTCACTGGTCCAATGGTAAATTATGACAGGAGAACTCTCTGCAGAGGAAAACTGCAGACTCAGGAAGGTGGAAAGCCCTACTTGCAAAAATAAAAACCAAAAAAGACAGGATGGGGGAAAGCAAATAAATGAAGGAGAAAGGACCCTAGAAGAAAGGGAGTTTCTTTTTCACGAGACTTTCACACATGAGGACGAGGTATGGAGCACACCTGTGATCAGGGTCCCCACAGATTCCGTGAATTTCTATTAAGTACCTACACTCTGCTGCTGCTTCCTTTCCAGATCACATAATCCCCAGCACAGGACACCTCCACCAGGGACCACAGGGACCAGGAGCACCAAGAAGTTTTCACAGCCTGTTTCTAGCTTAGGGAATTAGTTCTTATTTTCTGGAAAGTTAGATGCGGTCTTCTTCATGAAAGCATTTTTAAAATCAAATCAATTTTTAAAGATTTGATTTCTATTCAAATTTTTAGGAATGCACCTGTGATATAGAACAAGGCTCATATACTTGGGGGGAGAGGGACAGAGAAAGGGAGAGAGGGAGAGAGAGAGAGAAAGAGAGGGAGAGAAAAAGAGAGAGAGAGGGAGAAGGGGAGAGAGAGAGAGGGAGAGGGGGAGAGAGAGAGAGGGAGAGAGAGTGTGAGTACCAGGACACCTGTGATGTGTGGGAGCTGATCACTCGAGTGCCTTCTGATTTTAGTAGTCTGTGAAACTGAAGGATTGTTATTAGTATAGTCTGGATCCTAAGTGTGCCCATGGGCCCGCAAGCTTAGCCCCATGGGGAGTGCGGAAACTTTAAAAGCCGTGCCTCATGGGAAGTCTCTTAGCCACCAGGGGATAGATAACATGGAAGGGGTTGTGGAACTCTGGTCTCTTTTTGTCTGTCTTATCCCCTGAGATGAGGTGGGTGGTATTGCCATTCACCACTGCCACAATGAGTAGCCTTGTCACAAGCTCCAAAGCAACAGGTCCAACTGACCATGGACTAAAACCTCTGAAACTGTAAGCCAAATCAAACTTTTTCACTGTCAGTTGGCTATCTCAGGCTTTGTTACAGTAACAGACAAGCTGACTAACACAGCAGGGATCGGCAGTACCAATACAAACTGGATTCCTGTTCTAAGCTGTATCTCCTAAAAATTCAGTTGCCATCCTAAGTTATGTCTACTGTGAGCTCAAAGCAACACACGTGCCCACGCTGACTGTCACCAGCATCTGCTCTGGGCACAGAGCTTCCAACAGTCAGTTCCAAAGCAGAATGAGTGAAGCTGACACTTGTTTTCTGGCCCAGAAAAATAAAACTAAAAAGAGAGCCAAGATGTAGCCTTTAAAAATGATTCAGAGTTCTTTGAACGAAAAAAAAATATTTAATTTTAGGAATTCTTGTTCAGCATGATTAGCTGTAGTGTTCTAAAACAGAGAGCTGAGTTTATCATGAAATTTTAGAAGTTTGCAACGTCTTCTAGTCATATCTTTAAAAGTGCCACATTGACCATTAGGGCACCAGAAAAAGGAAACAAGGGTGAATGTAGGAAGAGCAGAAATGTTCATTTGATGGCTGTAAATTCTGATAAAACTGACCTAACACAAAATGTACCATCTTAAGCACTTTCAATGTGCTGAACTACTTACCTTGTAAACTGTCGACTCTCTTCATGAACTTCCATTTCTGTGCTTTTAAATTCATTTAGTTCTTTCCTTATTGCTGCCTAAACAGGAAGAAATAGGTAAGTTAGAATTATTATTTAGGGCACAGTCTATACAGCATCAGTGAAGCACATGTTCTTTTAAGAAATGTCTAGAAGAGAGAAAGGGCTTCCTAATTTCTATTGGATAAAGGTATAATAGATATTACGTCATTTAGATTGTGTCTCTAATACGAAAATCTGAAATCAGAAATTCTTCAAAATCTGAAACCACATGAATACCACAAATTCCACACCAACCTGTGTGACTGTTCCAAAATGCAGGTGCACTAAAACTCTTGTATAAAAATGACCTGCAGGATATGTATAAACAGCAAATACAAAACATAGATGAATTTTGTGTCTAGACTTGAGCTCCATCCTTGAGACAGCTCACCATGTATTACAAATAATCCAAAACCTAAAAAAAATCCACAGTTGGAAACTTTAACGGTGCCAAGTTGTTTTGGATGGAAGATAGTCAATGTGTAAAAACAAACATGAACCAGGACAGACACAAGTGTCTGAGAGGAAGGGAATCTTGGCAGGACCCATCCTTGAGCCTGGTCTATGAGTCACACAGGATGTCCCCCACTTATGACCACAAGAAAGTACAAGGCGAGAGGTGTTCTGAGAAACGATATCATATTCCTATGAAAGTTCTGCATCTAGTACCACCCACAAGCCAACTTTGACCAGCTGCCACAGAGCTGCTGGGAAAGCAGTTGCTATTAATCCATTTAATACTGAAGTTTAGACAAACAACTTAAAATTTCAGCACAGCACTTGAAGCAACTGAAAGAAAATACCAATAGGATGCATTACCATTTAAAGAACACATAGGTAGTGCTATGTACCTTTCAGTCTACAAACAGATGCTTATGCTATTCAGAATGAAAAACTGAGACACAGACCAAAATATTAACCTTAGCTCTCTGCTAACAGACAGCGGCAGGGTCATACATGGCTTTGGGCTTCAAGTTTTTGCTTATGTTTATTTCCTGTCTTTCCTATAAAGTATGTTTTGCTCAAGAAAAAAAAAAAAAAACTCACAAAATGGACTCTTCAACCAAAACAAGGAATGACAGTGTAAATTCTAAAGAGTGCTTCCTGGAGAGATTAAAACAAAAATCCACTTTGTGGTTGGAAAGCAATGAATTTTAGAAAAGGGAAAAGGCAGAAGAAAGCAACAAGAGGTCTCTCTGTGCTCCTTCCTGTCACCAGCCACCACTCTGCAATCCACAGTCACTTCTCCATTGCTCTGGCTTAGATCCCTGTTCCCCGAAGACTGAAGTGTCCCGGTTCATTCTCCAGGGCGGCACTATCGGGAGCTGTCCTGGGGCTTTACGAAGGTGGGGTCTTACTAGAGGCGCTTAGGTGACCGAGCATTATCCCCACAGGGGGTGGGGACCTGGCCTGACCTTTGCTTTCCTGGCTCATGCTAAGTCATCTGCTGCACAGCACACTCCCCCTCTTGCCACCCAATGCCCCACTGCAGGTCCAGTCAGGGGCTACTTGATCTTGCACTGCAACCTCCCGAACCATCGGCTAAAATAGATTCTGTCCTTACAAGTTCATTGCTTAGGTTATTTTGTTGCAGTGACAGAAAGCTGACTATACACCCCCCTAGAAAATGAGGATGACAATTCCTCAAAATATTATGAGTATTAGTCAAAAGCATATTGGAAAGTGCTTTGCACAATGTCAAGTTATCAACAGTAAAATGCTTTTTGTGTTTGTGTGGCTCCTGAGATTTAACCCAGGGCCTTTACACTGAACTACATCTCAGCTCCCCAGCCCTTTCTGTTCTGAGACAGCATCTCACTAACTTACTAAGCTGCCAGGCTGGGCTAGAAATTGAGATTTTCTTGTCTCAGCCGACCACAGTGCTGGGATTACAGACATGTACCACCATGCCCGGCTATTATGAGGCTTTTGAAAAACAAAGTATTTTGGTTTGTGACCGTGACTAACAATCTTTTCACTTTTGTTTATGGAAAGTCTACAGGAGTGCAAGAATTTGCCACTGAAGGAGATAAATGCAAATAAGACAAAGTCTATCTGAAATAATAGGTTGGCAAAAGATCTAAGAGTTTGGCACAAACCAGTGAAAGCACTCTGATTGAATCAACTGGGACATGGAATTTATAAAGCAGCGAAACTGTAAATTGTGCGCTGCATGTCCTTTATATTAATAAAATTTACAATTCTCTAATGACCGATACACACTTACCTATGCCTCCACCCACCGAGAGCCCACTAAACGTTTACGAGCACATCCCATTCTGTCATCTGCAATGTGACTTTGCCATTCCCTCAGCAAGAGCTGGACTCTTACCTTTTCCCCCTTCACTTTTGTAACCACTCTGAATGATAAGACATGGTAGAGTGACAGCCAGGACAAGGTGCAATCCTTCCCTGGCCTGACAGCTTTTGGTTCTTGGAAGCTAGCTGCCATGGAAAAACGTAGGACCGCTCTAGGGAGACTACACAGAAGTCTCAGGGGCGTGAAAAAGTTTTAGAGATGGAGATGCCATGGAGAGGGACCCAGGAGCAAGAAGGTGCAGACATGTTCTTGTGAAGCCACCTCGGAAGAACGTTCTCTGGCCCTCCATCTCACATGATGCCACATGCATCCGGAGCAAACCCTGAGCTGAGCTGGTCCCAAATCCCTTCCTCACTAACATGTGAGCAAAATAAACAATTGTTTTAGGTCACTAGGTTTTGGGGTGGTTTACTGCAGAGCAGCTGGTAACCTGAACACTATGCCAAGACTTTTATCTTACGGAAGATAAAACGAAGGCCTCGCTAGACTGTGCGGCCTGCAGGTTATCAAGGAGGCATTAAGTGATGAGGCCTGGGCCCATGTACAGGCCTTCATATCCTGCATATTTTTCAGGAAAAGGAGCTTGAGGCGTAAGTCATCCAGATAACTGCCTCAGATTTCCATGTTCTGTGTGCTGGGTTCTGATTAGAAAGGAGTCTGCTACATAAATGATGTCGCAATGAATGTGATGTAAGATTATGGGGATGTGGAGTTTAAGAAATGTATCAGAGAGATGTGACTGTCAACAATGAAAGAAGCACAGTCTCCATTTGAAAAATTCACTGAAGAATGACCACAGTTTTAGTCCAAGAGTTCCTTCTTGGAACAGAAAGATTTCTTGGAAAAGTTTAAAAGAGGAATTAAATCTTTCATATTAGTGAAATACAGGCACAGTAATATTAACTTTCTTATTTGCAAATGAAGCCAGGACGTGACCCTAAGATTCCTCATGTAAGTGTTACCAGGAATGATTTCACTGAAAGTTACAGGACAGGCAGGCTGGGAGCCCAGACGGTGCTGGGTTGGGACCACCAATGGGAAGCACTGACCTGAACCCGGGGGTTTCTAGGATAGAAGCAATGCAACTAAAGCACACTGGGAGATAGTACTGTGTTTTGAGTACTCAGTTATTTTTTGGTATTATAAAATGGCAAAAGGAAATGAACTGAAATGACAGAAGCCAAGTTTAAAATGGGGCAGTGGAGAGTAGTGACAGAAGTTCTACTCCACCAGCCTCAGGCAGCTCAAGGACTGCCTGGCAGGAAGCAAAGGTGATTTGGTGGCAATGTGGACCCTGCCGCCTTCTCAAATAGCGCGAGTTGTGAGGCCAGAATTTCCATTTTGGTATCTTTTGTTTATTTCCTTGACAGACTTCTGATATGGAACACAGAGGGGGTGTGTGACTACTCATCAAGTTCAGTGCTAGGGGAAGATAAGTGTACCCATTTCTGCTGCCCATGGAACCACGAACTGGCTGAAGAATATCCTGTAAAGAATGAAAATCTCAGTCTTTCCGAGCCCCTGTTCAGTCAGTGCATTCCTGGAAAGATGGCATGTTTTATTCATCTTTATATCCCTAGTATTTGGGACAATACTTCATATATTTTAAGGGTGGTAATAAATGATTCCTGCCCTACTATTGGGCAAATCCATGTATCATCTGAAAAAAATTTGTGTTTATATCCACTAGAAAATTATAGATTAGACTGTAAGCTGAGGCTTCAATAAATGGTGAAAATGTCACAAAAGAGGAACAAAGCTTGGATTCTTTTTTGAGGGGGCAGGTACCGGAAATAGAAGTCAGGATCTTGCACTTGCCAGGCAGGTGCTTGTGCTGCTGAGTTATAACCCCAGCCCAAGCTTGGATTCTTAAACTTGACCACGAACACAATATTGGTAAGAGCTACCACTAACTACCATTAACTGGAGCGATACAGATATTCTAATTCTCAGACTGCTGCTTGTTCATGTACGTGGCCCTGCCTGCCTTTCTGAAGTTCAGATGTAACTGGTCACACTTTACTAGTGAGGAAACGGGTTCAATGACTAAGTCAGGATGCAAGGCCAGAATTACCCAGCTCTAAAGCCCACCCTCTGCTCTCAGCCCTCAAGCTTCCATACTTCACGCCAGGAAGGTGACAATTAAAATGCTAAGCATGGCATTACAAATTGTCATATGTGTTTTGAATGGCCGGTAACAGTAAAATCTCCTTTGATACAAAAGTAAGACAGACTAACACTGGAACTGTCTTTGACTTCAAGGCTAATCTGATGCATCTCAGTAGTAATTTTCTAACCTGACAAATGGAATGTAAGAGAGAAAGTCTGTCCAAGTCACATAAATGATTCCCTCGCCATAGAGTGGGTTCCAAATGGCATCCCTTGATATAAGCATTTGTTAGGTATCTGACCCCAAAAGGACAGCAAAGACGATACAAGTTGGCGTTTAATAAGTGAAGAAGGGATGTGAGGATGTGTGTGTGAGTGTGTGTGACCCAGCCTGAGAATCCGAGTCAGCTGTTACACAGGTTTGCAGTCTGAATCCATAGTACGAAGTCATCTAAAATAATTCACTTTTATAATTCAATTAAAAGAATATTAAATAAAATAAACTTTACAATGAAAGGCATTTCTTGAGAGAGTTTCATAACAAAGATTTTATCAGGAAAATATACTTATTCTAAATACGTAACAACACACCTAAGAAAGTATGAATCAAAACCAAGAGAATTATGAGTACGGGGGTAAAATCCAAATTGTGGGAGATTTAAGACATTTTTGTTGTGAGACAAATCCACTACATACAAAAAATAAGAATACAGACATCTAAGGGCAATTAACAAGCTTGATCTTATAGGTGCATTAGAACACTACACCCCAACCTGCAGAACATACATTGTTTCAAAGCACGAGGCATTTATAATTTCTGATCACATACTTTAAAAATCCCAGCAATTAAAATCTGCACCCCAGATCAATTAAATCAGCATCTCAGGAAATGAGGCTCAGACATCCACACTGATAAAGTTCGCCAGGTGATACCAACATGTAGCTAACGTTGCAAACCATCGAACACAGGATAATTTACAGCCTGCTGTGCTTATATTAAAAATTAAGGAAAGACAGGCTGGGCATGGTGATGCCTACTTGTGTTCCCAGCACTCTGGGGGTTGGGGCAGGAAGACGGCAAGTTTGAACCCCACCTGGGAAACCTGAGGGCTTGGTGAGATTCTACCTCAAAATAAAAAATGTTTCGAAAAGCCTGAGGAAGTAGCTCAGTGCTAAGTCCCTGCACTCAATCCCCACAGCCATCCTCCTCACCAAAAAAAAATTTAAGGAGGAACAAAAATCTATGTTATAGTCTATTTCAAGCTAGAAACAAAAAGCCAAATAAAGTCATAAAAAAACAGGAGAAAAGAAAAAGGAGCAAACGCAATGCTGCCTCCCCAGTCCATGCAGGATGCAGTCCAAGACCTCCTGCAGAGACCTGAAATCACAGATAGTACCAAACCCAATGTAAATTGTTTGTTCCTGTACCTGTGACAGATTTACTTTTAATTTATAAATTAGGCACAGTAAAAGATGAACAATATAGTAAAACAGGACAACTATTGGGCCATTATTAAATTAAAGTAAGGGTTTCTTGAATGCAAGCACCGAGAAACTTTTGACAGTCGATTTCAGAACCCACTTGATCTTCGCCAAAAGGCTGAGAAGCAATCGATTTCAGAACCCAGACAACTGCCAAGTGACCAGACACGTGGTACAAATGGACCATCCACATCCTGGCAGGGCTGCAGTGGGATGCAGAGGACAGTGTGGGACAGGACAAGCTGTCTTGCCTTGTCCTTGAAATCTCATGACACTTGGGAGTTCAGCATGCAACTTGGAGTATTGTACAATTTAAAACACATGAATCATTTACTTCTGGAGTTGTCCATTTAAGGTTTTCAGACCATGGTTGACTACAGACAACTGAAACCCAACATAAAGGGGGACTATTACAATGATATAGAAAAGAATCACCCTCAGAGCTGGGTGTGGTAGTATACATTTGTAAACCCAGGACCCTGGTAGGCTGAGGCAGGAGGAGCACAAATTCAAGTCCAGCCTGGGTAATTTAGTGATTTTGCAAGACCTTGTCTCAAAATAGAAAATAAAAAAAGGGCTGGGAATGTAGCTCAGTGAATAGGCCCTGGGTTCAATACCCAGTGCTGGGAAAAAAAATCAACTCCAGGTAAATAAAGAAATTAAATTAGAAAAACAAAACGACAGAAGTTCTCAAAGACTATGGGAACTATATTTTAAAATTTTGGTATAGGATGAATTTCTTTTAAAGAAACAAAACCACAAGCTGTAAAGCAGAAAAGTTGATAAACACTATATAACTGTTGTTATGGTTTGTGTCTGAATGTCCGCTCAAAGCCTCGTGTGGTCATGGGGGTGGGCTTTTAGGAGGTGGCTGAACCTAGAGTTTGTGATGGGTTCATTGTCTAGTGCTGGGATTGGGGGTGTGAGTGCTATACTGGCCTTAGGGTGGGTAGCCTGCATACAACATAAGGGAGGGAAAGAGGCTTGCTCGTCCCTCTTTGCTCTTGTTGCTTTTATTGTCTTCACCACCACGAATGGTTACCCTTTTGCCATGTTCCACCCTGCCTTGGAGCCAGCCAATTATGGACTGGAACCTCTAAAAACTGTGAGCTAAATAAATCTTTCCTTCTTTAACTTTGGGTGGTGGGTATTTTGTGTCAGCAATGAGAAAAGTAACTAAGACAATGGTACTAAAGATTTCATTTATCAAAGGATACCATAAAGAGAACTGAAATGTCCTGAGGTAGAAGAAGACACATGTTTATTTGTATCTCAAATAACTAGGATGTATGAAGAACCCTATTCATTAACAAGAAACTGACAGGCCAAAAGAAAATGGGCAAAACAGGCATTTCACAGAAATGGAATTTGAATGCCAGACCAGTATAGGAAAATATGCTCAAGCTGAAGAGTAACTGTTGACAGGCAAAGTGAAATCACAAGGAGCTGTTACTCACAGCCCGCTGACTTAGGACACACCCCTTAGTCTGCGTTCACCATCCCATCCGCAGGTCTCCTCCTTTTCCATGAAATGTTGACTGTTTGTCCACTGATTATGCCCTGCTCTATCACTTCCTGTCTTTCTCCTGCATATGTACCCTTCTCTTTCTTTTGGTCCCTTTCTCATAGCACAGAAGTGTTTCCTACAAGTTAAAAACAATCCTTCTCCCAGTGCCTCACCTTCCCCTCCAAACTTCTCCACCCAAGCTTACAGGCAGCCTCACCACACCTCTTCCCTGCACAGCCAAAATTCCTGGGATTGTTTGATCCCCATGGTCTTTGGCACTGTTGTTCTTCCAATCATCAGTCCATTAAAATATCGCCCTCACCTTGTTACTGAACAAGACAAGCCACCCTCCCCACACTCTCCTTCCTAGGCTTCCCAGCTACCATCTTCTCTCTTCTCACCTTGCACATATCTCTTCTCAGTAATGTTCTACTACCTTTTTTGTTGGGGGCGGGCGTTGAACTCAGGGCTTGTACCTGTTAGGCAAGCTCTCCCTCACTGATCTGCACACTGAGCCCAACCTGTTCCCCTTCTATTCCTGCATTCCTTTTTCCTCTACATTTCTACTTGTGAGCTAATCATTTCTGAATCAGTATCAATAACATGTGCTTGACACAGGGCACCTGCTTTACAGAAGAAAACTTCCTATTGAAAGTATTGGTACAAGGATTTATTAAATATCTTGTTCTAACATGATGACTGGGCATGGCATGAGCTTACTTAAAACAAGGTTATGCATAGGGGCAAGAAACAGAACTAATTTTGGGGGATAGATAGAAAATCTGAAGGTGGAAAATTTGAAAGTGCATGGTTACCATAAATCTTTAGATACAGAACCAGAATACTCATAAAATACTTTTAAGGATATGTGGGCTCAGTGGTAGAGTGCTTGATTAGCATGTGTAAGTCCCGGGGCCAACAAAAACAAACAAACCAATAAATGAACAAGCAAAATCTTTCTGTATGATGGAATCCTCTATATGTCATTTTTTGGAAGTAGGAGCAATGATATATACCAGGTATCAGCAAGCTATGGCCTGCAGACTAAAACTAGCCTGTTACCTGTTTTTGTAAATAAAGTTTTATTGAAACACATACATATCCATTCAATTACATCTGTCTATCGCTGCTTCCATCCTAAGCTGAGCAACTACAAAAAAAAGTGCAGCTCACAAACCCTAAAATATCTTCTCTCCAGCCATTTATATAAAAAGTATGCCATTTTTAATACAGATCAATATCTTTTCCATGGTCAACATATTTTTTTAAATGGCAACTCATCCAAGTTATATTTTCTAAGACTAAGGATAAATCCTGGCTATCCGACTGGATGAAGACAGCTTACATGGTAACTGAGAAGTACTTTTCCCTGATATTTCATTGATAGAACTGATATCACTAATTATATCATCTAAGTGGTTTCAATAATCAGAGACTGAAACATTTTGGAATATCTGCTTAGATCTGGTCACCTGGGACGACTAAGGGGAGGGTAAATGAATCCTGAGCTTTTAGCGAAGTGTCACAGTAAACACGACCACCCTGGGAGCCTTGCCTTGTCTGCAGGCGTCAACCTGGCCCAAGGCTTGTCTGCCCGGCGGTCATAGTCAGGAGAATCGGTGACTTCCACGTACTCGTTAAATCGCAGGATCCTTCGCGCTTGCAGCTCTGCTACTGTGGGTCGCAGGCTGAGCTGCAGGAGAGAAAAGAAAAAGCCAGAGATCAGAAAACCACATACACACACACAAAAAAAAAAAAAGAAAGAAAAGAAAACCACGTACAGCCTCATGGTGGCAAGTTTTCTACAGAGAACACTTTAAAGTTTGGTTAAATAAGGTCACTTTCAGATATCAAAAAAAAAAAAAAAAAAAAAAGCAGTTGGCATCTTGGGAATTTGTAATGAGAGCTAGAAAGCGGTGTGCCCTAATTTTGAGACTATAAAAACCATCCCTGTTAGATAGGTCATAGTGTTCGGCAACCATCTGCATTGTGTTATTTCTCCCTGCTTGCTGGGCGCTGAGCTAAAAGCCCACCTGTCTGTCCCACTACAAGGGACAGGCAGGGATGCTGGAAGGATGGTCACCCAGGGGCGGGGTGGCTGGGCTGCTGGCTGAGTGGCCAAGACAAAAGCTGGGAAACTTGGAGAAATGAGAGTAGGCACAGCCTTCCCAAGAAAAGGAGGACACAAGCCTGGCACTATTGTGTATCCTTGCTCAGAAAAGCCATCCTGGGGGACAAGAGGGCAGGACTGCTGAAGAGTCACACTTGCCGCCACCTTTAAACACTTGTCATCACTGGCTTCCTCCTGTGGCCTCTGTACAACTCACATTTATAATTTATTGAATCTGGTCAGCCCTGTGGGGGTTTGCTTTCATTTCTTGGTCCTTCCTCAAGCTGAGGAATCAGATGAAAACAATCCTGATGGATGAAACACACCAGGCCTCCTGGCTGACCAGCAGCATCTACGCTCTGCTCCTGATTTCAGGCCTTTTGTGGGGTGTCTCTCAGCTTAAAGGTGTCAGTGTTTCCAGACAAGGGGACCCAAGCTTCTGTTCTACCTAGAGCAGGGATGCTGAACCTTTTAGAGCTTTTAATAACAAACAGCCTATTACAGCACACTTGCCATAGGTTCCACTGACCTAGAGGTTCCATGACCAAGCCGGTCTACTTTCAGTATCTTTTCACACTTATATGAACTCTGTACACACCCAGACTATGTCCTCTGTAGAGACAGTCCTGATGTGCATAAACTCATATACAGTACACCCTGCAGATGCTCTGCAGTTGAAAACAGCCCCTTTCCTGAACTTCAGTTTCCTCCTGAGTAAAACTAGAGGTTGAATGAAGTTAATTCTGAGCCAGGCACAGAGGTGCAGGTGTATAATCGTGGCACTTGGGAGGCTGAGGCAGGAAGACTTCCATAAACTTGAGGCCAGCCTGGGCTACACAGTGAAGTCAAGACCAGGTTGGACTACATAGTGAGACTCTGTCTCAAAAAAGCAGAAACACCAAAAAAAAAAAAAGTTCATGCTGTAATCCAAGGACTCTCAGAAGGCCCGGATCCACACCCTGAGCCAGGATATGGCAACTAGAACTCCTTCCATCCACAGGGAGCCCTGGTAGGCAACGGGCAAAGCTGGGAACAGTCTTAAGTTCAGTTACACATCACCCTACTACATAGCCAGCTTTTTCCTGCCTCTGTGGGGAAGAGGAAATGAGGACCTGAACCCCCGCAGAGGGTGGGGAGGGAAGAGCTCTGCCTCATCCTGAGCTCGGGAGGACAGGGTCTGTGTGTCCCAGGACTGCACCTGGAGCCGTGGGATAGGGCTGCTGCTTCCCTGCAGCAGGTGACTTCAGGGCCACGGACTGCCACAGAGCCATCCCCCAAAATGAGCTCACACAGCCGCTCAGCTTGAGCGCAATCTGACATTAGTCACTTTGAGAAAAACAAATGAACTCAGGATCTCTTTCTCTGGAAAAGCAAACAAAACAAATCCCGTCCTTATAACTTTTCCACAGGAACGCAGCGTCTCCTGTACCTGCCTTAGAATGCTTTTGCTGGGAACTCCCCAGACAGACCTCAGAAATGTGGGTCAGGCCACACACTTGACAGCAGCGTCGCATTTTAGTCACCTGGCCTTGTCCAGGTAGGAGAGGTCTAGCTGAAGGATTATTACAAGGGTTAATAGTGAAACATAAATTCTAATGGTGCTTAATTTTTCCAAAGACTATTCTTTTACCACAGAAAAAAAGTCACTCCTGGAATCAGATTTACAGTTTCATGAAATACACAAAAACAATGGCCTGAGTTTTGGAAGGAAGCCACTTGTCAACTTGGGCAGCAGCGTGGCCAGCTGGCCCAACTGTCAAGCTCCCTAATACGTCACCCAGGTCTGATATGGAGTAGTGGCACATCGGCACGGAATGGTCACAAAATCGCCTCCCAAACATCTCTCAATAGCATTTCCAAGATTAAACAGGGAAGTGTGAGCATTTTTGAAACTGTATTTTTTACAATGGCAAGATCTACACTGAACTATTAATCATGGCTCCTTAAATGGAAGATTTCTGTGTGATAGCTTTTGTTCCTTTATGTGCTTCAAAAATTTTTGATACAGGATGTTTATTGTTATACTCAGTAAACATTAACTGAAAACCCTTTACCTTTTCAAAATTAATATAATATGCATAGTTATATTGTATGTATTATGATGATCTTAGTGTCTATGATTATTTAGCAGATGAACCAGAGTAATTTTTCCTAAGCATCAGCTTTACATGTAGAGAGTGGATTTATATTTTTAAAAAGTGTATCTCAACACACACGTTCATTAACAGTTATAATGTTATCACCTTCCGGCTGAGTCTACGCTTAAGTTCCATTTTTGCTTCTTGTTCTTCTTCTTCATTCTTTTCTGTTTATTGAGGGAAGAAAGGCATAATGATTTAGTTACTAATGATAATTTTATAAGCAGAGTATTCTATCAGTCCATAGTTATTTGACTCTAATAGATACCGACCACGCTAACATCTTTAAAAAGTTGTCAAAAGATTTTGCAGAAAGATTGATCATATACATATTTACATGTATGTCTGTGTATATATAAATACCTATATACATTTATATACAGTGTATATATGGTATATATTTTATATGTAATAACATATAATACATATATGATATGTTTGATAATATATATTTATATATACAGTATATATAGTACAATATATATATATACAGTATCTATCTATCTATATATATCATTTAAACTTTTCCTTGTAGGACTGATTTACTAATTTTGAAACCTTTTTACTGTTCTTTGAAATGAAAAGAAAAAAAAAGAAAAGAAAAGAAAAGGGAAGAAAAGAAAAAGACCTGAAATCATACGCATGCCCATACTGTGGTGAAAGTCTTCTTTCTATTGCTGGTCGTCTCGTGGGCCTATAAGTACAATTTACCAGAATTCAGATAAAACTTCACTTCTGCATCTGGCTTCATGTGAAAAACCTGATGCATACTAAAAGAGCAAATTAGAACCATCCGATGTGTGTCTGAGCTGCTGATTTCCACTCTAATCCAACAAAAATATTTGATCTGTCTTCCTCAGTTTCCATAGGAGCAGAATGTAAGCATTTCTTTGGCTTCTGCTTTCAAACCAGAATGTTCTGAATGGAGTTATGGTGCACTGTGGGTGGAAATCATTTATTTTCTTATGACTTTAACTTTCCAAAGTCTTCCTTCTCTAGTGTTTCACCTAGTAGTACAAGTTAATGCTAACAGATGAGTTTTTAAAAATGTCCACAATTTTTAAAGAAATAAACACTGCTTAGGTTTTATTGGTACTTATTTAGGGAACTTTGTTGCTTCCTGCAGCTTTTTATCTGTTCAATAAATGAGCACAGATTCTATCACTTAGATGCCAATGCTTATGAAAGATATGTTTTAGAAAGTGCTATTATACACTTTATAGAAGGAAATCACATTGCAAAAGGATTAACACAAAAGCTGAAAAAAGAAATCTCTAGTATAATATGATAATTGTTTCTTAGAGTTCAAATAGATTTTATATACTAAGATTATTTTTATGAATAAAATATCTATTTAATGTTTATAATTTTTAAAAATTTAATAGCCTACATTCTCTATAAACATTTCATTTTATGGATAGGAGAGAGTGTCTAAATTCCTCTAAAATACTAATTTTTATTAATAAGAAATAGGATAATAAGAGGATGATTTGATTAACAAGAAAGAGGTTATTAATACAGAATGAACAAAAATTAGAATTACCCATGGGACAAAAAAAATGAATTAGATGTTAAACAAATCTGGTTATAATTTAAATTTCTTACTATGAATATATTGTAGGACTTTCCAATTGCTTTGAAACAAAACATATTTTCATACCATTAAAATATATACATAGATTCAAATAATTACATGAGTTGTATAAAGTTTGTGAATTATCAATTATACATAACAGATGAACAGGTTCTTGTGATTAAAACCAAGGCTTTATAAGGAAAGAAATTTGATGCTATTATTAATAAAAAGAAAAACATAATCCTTACATTTTATTCAATTCTCCCTCTACATTAAAAATGTAGCATTATGCTACATTTTCAGGTACTTTTTAAGGACAAATACTAACAATAATAATAAAAAAGGATATCTAATACACCCCAAACCAAGGCCTGCTATAATTTTCATTAAATATGCAAATATCACTTCTTTGAAGGGAATATTAGCTTTGCTTTATTAAGCAAATTGTAAACTAGATACCAGCCAGCTATGTTTAAGAAAAAAAGGGTCCCTTGCAGTTAGGAAGTTAAATAAACAGGATTTTACCACCTGGAAATTCTCTTTTGACATCAGGAACTGACTTTTTTGTATTTCCCATGTTCAGCACTATACTTCTAATGAAGCTGGAGGAAGAGGTGGAGAGGTGGCAACGTAACTATTCCTTGGCATCCTAAATAGTCAGGTAAAATCTCTTACAAAGAGTCAAGGTTAACCTTAACAGTGGTATTTAAAAATTCATGTCATTTTTGCATGCTTCTATTACTTTTTTTTCCTTCACACTGGGGATTGATCCTAGGGCCTTCACAATGAGACAGGGTCTCATTAAATTGCCCAGGCTAGGTACAAACTTGTGATCCTTCTGCCTCAGCCTCGTGGAGTGCTGGGATTACGGGTGTGTACCACCACTCCCAGCTTCTACATCTTTTTAATTCATTAGAGGGTGAATCATAAGGCAGGATGTAAACTTCTATGTGCCCTTTAAAGGGACTGAAGGGATATTCATGAAGGAAGTGACACAGTTCATTGATAAATTTTATTCTCAGTACCTCACACAGGGGGGCAGACATTGTAGAACAGCCAGGAAGTGTTTCCCAGGAACACAGAAACAATGCATGTGGTTTGACAGCAGCACACACCACAGGAAACCTGCCAGGCTGCCAGTGCTGTTGGACAATTCATAGATGAGCCAAAAGAACAAGTACAGTAGTACCAGCAACTGGAGTATTATTGTAGTCTTGAGCCATCAGTGCAGATAAACTGTTTTCCCAGAAGGGCATAGGCCTATGGGTTTGTTCCTCTTTTTGCTGTTTTACATATCTAAGAGCGTGATTTTCTGTTTTTATTTTTATTTTTGTTTTGTTTTTGCTTGTTAGTTTTTGTTTTTTGTTTGTTTTCACTACTGGGATTGAGCCCAGGGCCTTCATACTAAGCTACATCCCCAGCCTGGTCCTAAATGACTAACTCATGGCAATCCTCCTATCTCAGCCTCTCAAGTGCTGAGATTACAGGGGAGTACCACCACAACCAGCCAAAGTATGTGTCCTTAAAAACACATACATACTTTTTTTTCAAATAGTCAATCATGTTGCTTTTGAACAAGAGCTACAGATGGAACGTACAAGCAAAAGCAATTCACATAGAAGAATCCAGAGGCAATGGGGCTGAGGCAGTGTTTGTAAGAAAAGCTGTTCTAAGCAGGATGTTGGGAGAGTGGATGGAAAGAACCTTCCCCGTCTTAGTCTGCTTCCCCTGGCCACACACCCCTGCGTCAGGAGACTCTTGGCCAGTTATCAGCCTCTCCAGACTGGAAATGTGCCTCTGGCTTCCAGAATCAACACGAACTTAGAAGGAAGCAAAAAAGGTCTGGGTTGACTTCAGTGCTTTCCTCTTTCCTGAACCTCCAGGAAAACAGAGGGCGCTTGGGCCAACACAGCACTTAAGATCAACAGGCAACACATTTCCGGATCCATGCAGCTGTTCCTCAAATAACCAGACGCCATGTGGCTTGGCACCTTTACACACAGGAGCCGGGAAGAATTACCCAGGATTCGCTCGCCCCACCTTCTTCCTTAAGTATTCCATCAGGCATCGAATAAGACATCTTCTCTGAGTGCAGAGCACACTCTCTGCATTTGAGCTCACTTAAAGTTTAACTCAACGAACAGTTCTCAAGAACCCATTATTGAAAGCCATGAGGCTTTAGGGTTTTGTTTGGTTGTCAAAATTAGATGTTGCTTTAACCATTTCTCAGGAAAGCTAAAACACAAAATGATCCTTCTTTTCTAGCCATGAAAATTTTCCCTCTTTCGGGCTGGCAGTTCTACACACTGACAGGCACCTATATCTTTTCTTGGTTTCTATTTCACTTAAGATCAAAAACAAACAGAAAAAAAAGCATTGTAAGAAAAAAGGTCCCACAGACTGGGTAGTGGGTGCTCCTCCCACTGCAAAATCTGCAGTGGTGTTGGGCTGCTTCGGTTATGACAACCATAGTAAAATACAGGTTGTCAGCAGGCCATGCAAACTCTGCAGGCCTGGTTGGAAAGGATTTCCCCTGGCCGGAGGCTGGCCGTACTGTAGCTAGTGCTACCTGCAGTTCTGCCAATTTCTACTCTTCAGTGTTTCCGATAATAGAAAGCTCTTTTGAAACTGGGTTAACAGAGAAAACTACAGCCAGGCTCCATTTATAATTATCAACTTCTTATCTCACATCAATATACAGTGGCAAGGCAAACTGTGTTTCTACTGGGGTTTTATTATATACCACCCCACAAAAGAAACTACAGGGAAAGACACAACAGAAAAATTAAGTAGGAAAATGAATGAAAGTGCCTTACGTGCTGAAAAACTGTAAATAACTCAAGAGAGAACCAGAGTTATCATAACAAAGGAAAGTGAAATGGACTAAAAATTCCTCACTAGAATTAAGTTTTAAGCTGTGTAGTCTGTTACACCTAGCAACAAACTGTATTATTACTAATAATATAGGCATGTTTGCTTTATTTCCTTGTAGATTCTTTGGGCTTTTCTTTGATATTTATTTGCCAGAAGACTATTTACTTCCATGTAACATTTGGGTGAAAGAATACATGGAATATATTTCATCTTTCTCAAAAATAATGATTATGGGCACAACTCCAGTCTGGGAGATATCTGGCTCAAAACTGTAAAATGAAATATAAAATTCAAGAAATTATTTTTTAAATCACAACAACATCTACATATAACATAAATGGGCCATTTCAGTCAGTTGTGAGTAAAGTTAGGTGTTCTGGTGCCTCCTGACGAGTGGGCTGTCTCTGAGGCAGCTTGTTCACAGCTCCTGGACAAGTCACTGTCTGGTAAGGGACACTCACGTTTCAGGATATTTCTTTGCTCCAATTCTTCAGTTGTGGGCCTTTGGCTGAGTCTCCTATGATGACAAAAAATACACTATGCATTAAAAATGAGCTTCTTTCAGTGGGAAATACAAGGTACAATAACAAAGCTAGCTTTTCTTCATCTGGAGAAATAAAAATCCATTTTAAGCCAATAACACAAAACTTGCCTTTCTGTCAGTTTGGACACCCTGACTGTGGCTGAGCCCACTAACCACCCCCCATCATCCGTTCTTCCTCTTTCTCTTAGAGATAGAACTGAGTCTGCCAGCCAGGCCTGGTGATGTGACTACATTTTTGCAGTGGGACACAGCAGGGTGCTGTTCACCCTTAAAATGACTGAGTGCATGCGCTCTTCTTTCCTTTATCTTCTTCTTCAGGCTACAACATGGATGTGGTGCTGTGAGCCAGCTCTGACCATGCAGATGAGACCATTCAAAGTGACACATGAGACCGTGGCGCTACACTGGCTCCTGGGAGCAGTGTCCTGTATCCACGCTGGATAGCTCAGCCACCTCTGGGCTGCTAGGTGGAAAAGAGAGAAATACACCTTATTTGAACCTCTGCACTTGGTGGTCTGTCACAGCAGCTTAGCAGCGATAGCCTAATTAATATGCAGGTCATTCAAATCTAAAATCAGTCACTCAAGAGTTTGTGCCAATTCATGTTTAAGTGACATACTGCTTTCAAGACCTCAAAGGAATCCATGGGACAAAATGATCTGAGATAGAAAGTTCCTCCTCTGCTTTCAAAATAACCAAGATTTGTTTGGGTTTCGTAGTTATCTATTCGTACACAAGAGCAGAAAGTCCTAATAACCCTTTATAACTTCGTTCTTGGTCTTGTTTACATAACTGATTTGTTGTTAATTACAATGAAAAACTTCTTTAGGTTGCAGGCTGAAGCTGTGCAAATGAGACTAACAGATATGAAAGGTAATCCTAATATAAGATACTACCACCTCTAAACACTGTGACTATGACAGAAATGGTCTGAGGAATGAGAGTAATGACATTTCAAATGTCTCATTAAGATTTTGTTAAAGTTGGGGCTGGGGATTTAGCTCAGCGGCAAAGCGCCTGCCTGGCAAGCGCAAGGTCGTGAGTTCAGTTCCCGGCACCGGAGAAAAACCAAAAAGATTTTGTTAAAGTTTAATCTTCATCAGAACTACCCTGATATTAGATTGGGTAGCTGACCCCGCACAGAACCCAGGGAATATCTCTGTCTCCATACGTCAGGTTCTGTGCCCTTCACATATCCATGTCCCTGTGCCACATGTCTGCATGGCCAGCGTACCGGACTCTATTTTCTGCCTCAGCTGTACCATCCCCCTCTTTTTAAAATGGAATTTCCTTCCTCTGCACTACCTTCCTCTTTCTTCAGCTACTGAAATCTTACAAATGAGTAAAAGAATACCCTGAAAAAAAATAAATAAATAAAAGAATACCCTGAAGGTAGGCATTTGACTCTCCTTGTGGTAAGAAGTCAAATCTGTTTCTTTGCCCATATACAATGGTTGTACAAGACTATGCTTATACCAAATGACTTATAAGTTATGGGTAATTATAAAGATCATCAGAGCTACTTTTTGTTTATAAAGTCCCAGGTATTGTGGTAGGCACTTAACTTACATTTTCTGCAATCCTCAAAACGATTCAGCAAAGTTGCAGCCAGTTCCCACTTCGCAGATGAGGAAATGAGATTACTTAACTTGCCTAAGATAAAACACTAGTGAATGCTAGAGTCAGGATCCCTACTTACATCCCGTGGCTAAGATGTTTAAACATTCTAAAACTGCAACTGTGGGTTAATCATCTTTGAATGACAGATAGTTGTGCTATATCATTGAAAAACAATTACATAAAATGTACATATGAATAACCTAAGTTTTTTATAGATACAGTCTGTGTATATGTTTACAAAGGCTTTCAAATTTGGGGGGTTGCAGTAAAATCCTAATTCACAAAAGACAGGAGCTGTCTCGTCTGGTTAGTTAAGACGTGGGACAGAGAATTCCCCACTCATCCACCCCAAATAAATACCTCCACTTCCCTGGGGCTCCCTGGGGGACCTCCAGGGATCCTTGATGAGGTAGTTAGGACATCGATGCTCTCTGAGAGTTTATGGTGTCATTTTTTTTACATGATGCCCTTTCTCAATTCCATTTTTAGCGTTTGGTTTAATTTGTCATAATAAACGTCTTTGTAAAATAAAGTTTAAAAAAATCTTTTCAAATTATTTCCTCCTTATGTAGCCCCCCAAAAGGAGTTAACATGCAAAGCAAAAAAGATTGTTTTGTGGTTCCTGTCCTGCTGCTAAATTGCTTTGCAGAAATATTGAGTAAGGACAATGTATGTGTGTCCTCTTTTCTCAAACTTGTCAACACTGGGTTTATTGAAAATGTGCTTTAGTAGTTTAAAGATAGGGAACAATTTAAATGAATAGCAAGAAATACTTAATTTCATCAAATGCTTGCTGTGATGTAGGCACTAAACAACCACAGTGTATCATCTCCTTTACCCCCATGAGCTCTGGGGATAGTGGTCTGGCTGAGATGGGCAAGCAAGGGCTCCCTTCTGCCTTGTTTTAGACACTGTATTTCTGCCAGTATTTTTGCCAGTCCCAGATAAGCCCACACTATGACTTTGTTGCAAGTGCTGGGACTGAATCCAGAGACTCTCAAATCTAGCCAAGTGCTCTACCACTGAGCTGCATCCCCAGCCCACACACTTGGATTCTGAACAGCCCCCTCTCCCAGGGGTTCTCATTAACATCTTCCAAACCTGCTGCAAAGGGTCCTTTATCCTGTCTCAGTGGGTGATTCTCCATTGGCTCACACTGTGAGAGATGATATTTACTTCTGCGCGGTTTCATTTTATAGAATGAATCTGTTACTGATGGCCTGGTTCTGTACCACATACCTATTACCTTTCAAGGTTCATGCCATGCACACACCTGATAAACCTGGTTGTTGAGCCTTCCTCACTGATAGAAATGTGTATTCCCTGTCTCTCTTCACTTACGCATTTCTTCCATCATTGTTTTCCAGAAATGGATTTCTTGGGCCTTACATTAAATGAATAGTTGAGTGTTTAAAATATGGTTATTGCTACTACTGTGAATGCAGCTCTCTTATTCAATGCATTCTCTTGCTGTATGTCAATGATAACATAAATACATTGAGTTTTATAGATTAATCTTCACATCTGTGAACCTGCTGAAGTTATTATGTAGCAATTTTTGGTTACCGTCAGTGTTCTACGTAGAACTAAATATAGTATCAATATTTCTTACCTATAATTGATTCCTTTTTTACTGAAAACATTTCTGACTAGGCTTTTAGTATAAGAAGGATAGGGAATCTTTGTTTGTTTACTTCTATTTCTGTAGGAAATGATTTTAGTGTTTTTCCACATACTAAAATATTTATCATAATTTCAAATACACTGTACTTCTGATTTGTTTAGGATTTTAACAAAATAATACAGATTTTCTTTAATGCCATCTTGACATTTATTGAGATGGGTAAACACTACTTGCTAAACTAAATGATATTCTTTATTTTTAAGGAACACATCCTATTTGCATTTTCTTATGTGCAAATATTCAATTACCTAAATTCTTACAGCAAAATGTAAAAAGGGCAACAAAACAAATAATCAAAAAACTTAGAAACATACACTGCTCTTACATGGCATAAAAAGTGTAAATTAGTAGACTGTATAAAATAAAGAAGATTGGGCAGAAAGCACAGGAACAGAAATTCTAGCCCGGGTTCTGACACTAAGTGTGCACCCTTGAGAAATTTCCTTAATCTCCCTGGGCCTCAGCGAGGTTGCCATTACTACCTGGCAAGGAAAAAACTTTGACTTGCAAGGCCTTCCAATTTAAAACTGTCAGTCATGTTAGTTCTTTTTACCACTCTAGCTCTTTCTTGAAGTTGGAAATGGTAAAGTTTAGGGCTGAAGTGAAAGACAGAGCCCACTGGTAAACTCCTTGAAGCTTCTCCCAGAGTACTGGGGAGAGCTCCAGACCAGGGGGATCCTCTGGCCTCTTCCAAGCTTCCCCTCCAACAGCTGCTGTCTCTGAGGTCTTCCTCCGTGTCTCACTATAGGAAGTTCCCGGGGCGCCTCTTCCTGTGGAGCAATAGCCAATGGCCTCCAGAATCCCTGTGTCCACCTTCCAGGGATGCTCTGGTCATACAAGTCTTTCCCTACTAGGCAAGGACAATGGCTTCCCCCACCTCCAAATCCTGTTCTTGGATTCCAGACTGTTTCCTTCTTCCGATTATGCAGACAGTGGGCACACAGAGAAAGAGAAGTCGGCAGAATGACAGTGCTTACATATGCTTAAAGCGACCATCAAAAATGAGAGCTTTGGTGGGAATGCTCACTTTTGTCAAGACTGCCAGTTAAATGGACCTCTAAGTCACATGTGGCAAAAGCAGAAATCCTACACAATAGCAGATGTCAGAGAATCCATCTGCTTCAAGTTAAAAGTGAAAGGTTTTGCTAGGGGCTGCAGATGCCTGACTTGGATGAAGCCAGGTCGCTGAGGCTCACAGCTCACAGGGCAGAAGCTCATAGCATTCACGAGTTTAGGCCGTAGGTTAGCCAATGTTATGGTTTGTGGGCCAAATCCTATGTGCCACTTTTTTTTTTTTTTGGTTTTTTGTTTGTTTGTTTTTTTCCAGTACCAGGAATCAAACTCACGACCTTGCGCTTGCCAGGCAGGCGCTGTGCCGCTGAACTAAATCCTCAGCCCCAATGTGCCCCCTTTTTCAGTCAATAAAGTTTTATTGGAACACAGCCATATGCATCTGTTGATGCATCACTTAGGTATAAACAGAAACTGTCTGGCCCAGCAAAGTTGAAAACAGCCACACTGGTTCTTTGTATTCAAATCTTGTTGACCTCCTCCCCTTATTGTAGCAGGTTTTACTGACCACCGGGCTAGCTGATCTAGGGCAGGTTCTCTGAGTGGTTCACCAACCAAGACCAACTTTAAAAGGCCTGCTGCGCGAAGTTCACCCGAACACAAGGAAGTCACAATGATCTTAGCTAGGAAGGAAACCTGGGAAGAAAGGCAAGCATGAATTAGTAAGAGATGAACTATAAAGTGCCAGCAGTTACCTGACCAGCTTGGTTCCAATTTGTTGTCGGATTTCCTGCCTCTCTTCTTCAGATGTTCGCTGCAAGATATTTTTGTCCTCTAACTCTTTCTTAGATGGTCTGTTGCCGAGTTTGATAGCAAGAGTATCCCTTCGTCGTATCTTACTTGCCAAAGCACCTGAGGATTGAAAAAAGGCAGAAATGTAGATAAAGCAGCGTTTAGCCAGCAGCACTCAGGTTATTCCTGGCATGCATTTTAAACAGGACCCAGGCCGAATTCTTTATCCACATGCAAGAGGGGAACCTTAACTCACCTTCGGGAAAAAAGATTTTGAGTTGGATATAGTTCCCTTTGAGAAAAAATGGGGAACTATTTTTCAAATGTTTTGAAAAACACTGGGACACCATTTAAAAACTTCGAAGTAGCACCTCAGCCTTTGGAAAGAGACAGCTGCAGTTTATTTTCCTGATAGAGTAGATTGTGGAAATTATTGATTGCACAATAGCTTTTCTTTCTTTCCTTTTTCAAGTTTGAAAAAGTTATTCCCTTCTATATACAGTACAGTTAATCCTTGTTTTTTCCTTTCCTCTATTCGATGTCTTGCTGGCAGAGTCTATCATTTATACTAATGTTTAACTCCAGTTACTGAAGAACCTTTAAAATATCATACCAGGGGCTGGGATGTAGCTTCATGGTGGCACACTTTCCTAGCTTGCATGAGCCTCTGGGTTCAACTCCCACTATTACTAAAACAAAACAAAACTTCTGCCAAATAGATGATATTCATTTATTTATTTTGGCTCTGTACAAGTTAGAGGCAATCTGACAAACTTCTGTTTCATCACTACCCAGTAATAATTTTTCACTATTTATAAATTCTTCCCAAATCATTTTGCTCACAAGTTGTTAAAGCGTAATGGCACACTCTAACTCTCCAAGTTATGCATAAATGATGAACTCTGCCCCACTTTAGTGCCGTTCCTTCCTAGAAGGTATGCTATTCTACCTTCTGTGAATCAATGACTGATTTTAATGCTAAAAAGGTATCTGTCAACTGAGATTCCGTCTCACTCCAGAAAGAATGGCTACCATCAATGAATCAACCAATAACAAATGCTGGAGATGCTATGGGGGAAAAGGAGCCCTTCTCCATTGTTGGTGGGAAAGTAAACTGGTACAACTACTATAGGAATCAATAAGGAAATTCCTCAAAAAACTACAAGTAGGAATTCCATTTGACTCAGCTATTCCCCTCCTAGGCACCTTCCCCAAAGAGTTAAAGTTATCATACCACAGTGATGCACACAAACCACTGTAGCATAATTCTTAATAGCTAAATCTTGGAAGAAGCCTATAGGTCCATCAACAGATGAATAGATAAGGAAATTGTGGTAAATTTGGTACTAAGGAAATTGTACTGCTGTTCTGCCTGAGTCATTTGTAGGAAAACGGATGCACCTTGAGACCATCATGTTAAGTAAATCAGACACATAAGCTTAAACATTGCATAGCTTCTCTTATATGAGAGATCAATATATAAATAAAGTGCAAAAAAAAGACAGACAATAAGGAAAAAGAGAGAAAATGGTTATTATAATCCAGCATGGATAATGTATCCGAAAGTGTACCTTAATTTAGTATAACTGTATTATACATTTTATATGTCTTTTGGGCCATCACTACGGCTGTTAATCTGTATGTAGGATAATTAACTTTATAAGGACTTGAAAGATGAATGAATGAATGTGATGCTGGTAAAAAATGAGAGAGGTGAAAGGTAAGAAAGGACCGAGATGTGCTATGTTCATGCACCAAACCTCTGCAATGAATGCAATCATTGTGTACTGTGAATGTGTAGTAACAGAAGTTTTAAAAATTTAAAAATTAAAAAGGAAAGGTATTCGTCATTCCTGAACATTCGTTTCTTTTCTCTTTAAACTGTGGTACAAAAGTGAGTGCTGTCCTCCAACTCTCTGATGAGTGAAGTCAGCGGCTCCTGTTTGACACTCTTTCTTTGACAACAGGTCCGGGCTGGCAGGACCACTTTGGTCTCGGAGAGAGGCTGCTCTCATTAGAAAGCTCTCATTCCCTGTACAAATACAAATAGGCACAGCTGCTTCCTCCACGAAGGCCTGACCCATCCCTGTGGGCTTATCTTCTGGAAAGACCTGTTCTCTCCTTTCAAACTAAACTTTAAGATAAACACATTTCTCATGTGAGAAGGAAAGATGAGAGAAGGAAAAACATCAGGTGGCTGGTGAGGCTCTTGGCTTTACAACACGCAGCTGCTTCTGTCCACCTGCCTACTTCTTGAAAGGGGTCTTACTCTCTCCACTGCCGTCCTCGTCATCTTCTTCCTCGTCATCGTCGGTGTACAAGATGGGCCCATCTGAGTCAGAGTCATTGGCCTGGTACTCCCTGCTGCCTTCATCCTCCGGGGCACTGAAGGACTCCGAAGATTCTCCCATCAGCCCTGGGGTCAGCAGCTGAGAGGTGGCCTTCTCCAGCTCATCTTTGGTTGGAAAACTGTTAAGACAAGAAAAACACAGTGTTGATGGAAGGCTTGGAGGAACCCTTGAGGACATCAACAGCATGAAAGGAACTCAGTGTCAAAGGCATCCTCGGGCTGGGAAAGCAGAGACCAAACCTAGGTCAGTTAACATCACTGAAGTGGAAAGGCTGTGCTGTTACTTCATTCTCAAAGTTGAACATTCTTCTTCTGTAAAATGGAAAGGCCACACTAGGTGGTGTCTAATATATTTAGTAAATAAATCTGGTAAAACTGTTTCAGAAATTTCTCCTGGGCCTTCGGTTGAGTTCCTCACCCAGCCTGTCTGTTCCCAAGATGATCTGAAGACAACGTGGTTGGAGTTCTTAGCTCACTGCACCTGACTGCTCCTCAATACTGTGACATCGTAAGCCACACAAGTGCATCAAGTGGGACTCAGACTGCCTTGCCTCATAGCACCACAGTGCACTGGCATACAGCAGGGCCTCGTCTGTCATTAATATATGGATAAGTAGCACTTTTATCCCAGCCAGTGTGGCAATGGTCAAATATCACTTATCCTTTCTATGTTTCTGTTCTCTCATTTGTAAAACTGTTTCTCACTGGTTTATAGTACTAACATGAAATAGGAAGTGTAGAAGTTAAATAAACTCTTGGGAAGAAAGGTGATGTACAGGGACACAATAGTTTTCTGTTATCTACATAGGTAAGGGTCTCTGGTTTAAGCAGTTACTCTCATATACAAAGCATATAAACTTCCAAAGATTAGAATAAAAAATATACTTGACATCAAAAATCTTTCACATCAGGCAGGTGTGTTGGCACATGCCTATAATCCCAGGGCTTGGGAGGCTGAGGCAGGAGGATCGTCCCAAGTTTGAGGCCAACCCTTTTACATCAAAAACAATGTAATCATCTCCCCAAATGCTTTCTGATATGAACGAAGTATCCACATTTGGATGTCACTCTTCAGAAAGAATAACTTTGTGGAAAACATGTCTGTTGTCCTCACTAACAAAGACAAAACAAAAAAACATGTGCTTTGAACACAGGTAAACTTCATCAGAATATGAAGTATTCCAAATTCTACTGTGTGGTTATATGGCTAAGGGCTCCCATATTCTTTCTCACTTAGCAAAACCCAAGCGCCTGAAGACTTGTTCCCAGAAGGACATAAGGCGTTTCCTTTTTTACTGTGTAAAATATACACAGCATAAAAGTTACCATCAGCCATTATGACCATTTCCAAATGTACAGGTCAGCGGTAATCAGGTACAATGACCTTGTGTAACCGACTATTTCCAGAACTTATCTCTGTCCCCGTCTAACAATAATTCCCCATGCTCCTGAGTGCCTTTGGGGGCCATCATTCTACTTTTTGTCTCTATGAGTCTATTTTAGGTACCTTATATAAGTGAAGCCATGCAATGTTTGTCCCTTTGTGTTTGACTTATTTTATTGAGTACAATGTCACTAAGGTTCATTCATGTCATGCATGTGTTGGAGTTTCCTCCTTCTTCAAAGCTTGGCAAGATCCATATTTTGCTGATCCATCCATCAGTCAATGGATATTTGGGCTGTCTCCACCTTTTGGCTATTATAAGTGCTATGAACACTAATATATTAATTCATTGCCTCTTTTCAATTCTCTTGGTAGTATATTAAGAATGGAAATTCCAGAGTCATAGGGTGAGATTCTGTTTAATATTTTGAGAAACCATTATGTTGCCTACTATAGTGGGAAATCTTATCTTAAAGAAGACTTATTTTTATGCAAAAACACTTCCATGGTCTGAATTTTCACTTTCTTGCCACTGGAAGCCACACTTGTTTGAAAAGACTGATCACAGTGTGTTTAAAAGATACGCCAATCAAGAATTACTTCTGCAAACAGCAGAACAAAAGATACCTCAGAGTTAAGGCTTGTTGTTTGTGTCACTGTTCACAAATATATTATGTTACTGATTTATTATAATCTCACTACTTATATTTTGTAACATTTTACAGTTTGCAAAGAGTCCCACATATACTTGCAATGTCCTGCACTACGTATGGAGCCAGAGAAGACCATCAGTGACCTACCCAACAAAGGCAGCAAGTCCAGCCTAGAACCCACACAGAAGACTCTTAGTCTATGTATTGTTACATTTTCTTTTATACTTACTAGAAATTTTATTAATGCTATGTTATACTTCAATATTAAATATTCTAAATTAGTATGTATGAACTCATGTTTTTGTTCCTGTTTTTCATCCTAGAGTTCCCATGCACACTGAACAACAGTGCATCTCATGGGCTCAACAAGTTACCGGAGACACGGCCTCAAATGGGCTGATTAGTTTCAGTCTCACATATATGAGACATACGTGTTGATAAAGGTGGCAACGAATAGAAACCTCCTGAGTAGTTAGCACCCTGTAATATGGGAACAGAGGGAGATATTTTTATACACAGTCACTTGCCCTCTTTAAAGTTTTGATATTTGTATTACAAACAGAAGACTTTTCATAAAATGACAGCTTCTTCACACATTGGGTGACTAAATATAACTCCTGGAGAGTTCTAAGTAAAGTAAGTAAGTAAGAGCCAAAAATTCTAATTCAAACATTCCCTTGAAAAGGAAGAAAGAATTTGGAAGAAAATTAGAAAGACTAGTAACTCCAAGTTCATTAATTCAGCAGCAAACACTAACCACCCCAGTAGAATGAATTATAGTTTAAATGTTTAATTCTGAAGAATATAGAGAAAAGACAATCTTTATGATTTCTTCTAGGAAAGCATTAGAGTTTCCCTGACTGTTAGAAAAGTCTATTTTAAATCTCTGGAATATCTCAAAATGTCCTAAGCTGGCTTCCTCTGATTCCACTGCCAGTAGAAATGGAAAACTGATGCTACTCCTTTGTGTGACACTTTTTCACTCACTCTGGCTAAACTGTTAGGTGCCCCGCATGCATGCAGTGCTTAGTACAATAAAGTGCACTCTCTTAGGGGTTAGGGAAACATACTGGGTAGGGTCAGGTCATCTTTGGAGATGGGCTTTCTGTATGCTTAAGACTATCTAAGGAAGCATTTTACATACTGCACCTAGTTCTTTATTACACTGAATGATGAACTTATACACACAATCTATTTCCAAAATTTCAGATGTTGTCTGAAACATCTATACCTCCTGGGCATATTGGTCAATAGTTTGTTTGTTTTTTTTTTAAAGCTACTATGAACTAGTCCACCTGGCTCACTTTTGTTTCTTTGGTGCTTAGTATATTGCCCAGCACAGAGAAGGAAGCCAAAGATGTATGTTGCAAGATGGAATGTCCAGTTTTAAGGTTGGAAGTAGTTGTAACACTGAAAAATACTTACTATAAACCAAGGAAGACATTTGCTATGTGCTAGAAGAATTAAGAACACTGTTATAGTTTGAACGTGTCTCCCAGAAGTCAAGTCTTGAAAACTGAATTGCCAGTGTAACACTGTCGAGAAGTGAGGGCTAAAGGAAGGTGTTTGGATCATGAGGGCGAAGCACTAGTGAACAAGTTAATGGCATTACACAGAGGAACTGCAAGAGAGGGGTCACCTCTCATGCTCTTGGGCCTCCCACATCTGCCGTGTGCCGACATGATGAGACGGCCCTGGCCAACAGCTGAAGCCTTGACCTTGGACTTCCTGGCCTCCAGAACTGTAATTTGATAAATTTCTCTTCATAATCAATTACCCTATTCCAGGTATTCTGTTACAGCAGTACAAGGCAGACTATTCATTTCAATATCTTCTTTTCCCTGTATCTTTTAGTAAAAATGTCAGAGACATAAGTAATTGTAATTGAACATTTAACTTTCCTTGGCTTGCCTGCAAATGACACTGCTCAAAATGACAAAATTAAAGAAGTAAACTGTTAGAAAAGAAATAGCAGTAGAAGTAAAAGTAACTCTGTTTGGAAAATTTATGAAATTATTCAAAGTCTGGAATTCTTTGTATAGTGCTATGTTTCCACTTAGGTTTGCCAGTGGTAACTAGGTAATATTAACTTTGCTAATGTTAATGGGGCAAAACTATTTTACGTCTTTCAGTACCTGTTTTCTTATCTATAAAACCGGGACACCTCAGGAAAAATTTGTGTAAATTAAATGATAGCAAGTGTATAGTGCTTAGTTCCTGACATTAGTAAGTACTCAATAAATGAAAGTTTTCAGCAATTTAATTAAAGTTAGTATTTTAGTGTCTTGATTTAAAACCATTAAAACTAATGAATGTACTTTAAAAAAAATTATAACATGACACAAATTTTGAGAGAGAGCCTATTAAAACATTTAAGGGTTGAATATAGGTTTTACTTTCAGAATAAGGAGAGAAGAGAGTGGATGTAAGAGTTCCCAGCTTTTCCTAGATGGAACTGGACCTACTGTAGTCTAAGAACCCTCCTTTCATCCTTGTGGAACAGGAGGGCTCACCTACCTTTGAGCAGAATATTCACAGGACTTTGAGAGTGACTAGATAGAGGGAATGAAGGAGAATATGGACTGAAGGATGACTCTGGGTTTCTGAAATGAGCAAGTAGGTGAGTGTGGAGCCACTAACCCAAGGGGACATCAAGTTCCTTGGTCCACTCTGTTTGGATACCTTCTTCATCAAAACTGAGACCACTTGACATGGCCTTTTATCTTCTGTTACCATCTGTTCATAAAATCTAGCATCAGGGCTATCTTTAACACTGCTTCCACCATACTGGAGTAGGCTAACAACCTACTCTCGGTTATTTCCTGATAACCTCCTTAGATTGCTTTTTAAATTTTTATTCAACAATTTAATGCATATCCACGGAGTGCTCTTATGGCTGCTGAGGTCACAGAGGTAAATGAGACATGCTGGTTAGTTCTGTCCACACACAGGAGAAGAGAGGCTTTCTGAGTATAGTAGATGTAACAGTCAGTTCTGTCCAGAAACATTGGAAGGATCCACAGAGATGAAATTTCAGCTGGTCGAGAATTAAGAGAGCAAAAAAGGGGGCCACACTGTAGCTGGATGAGAAGGAGTCAGAATTTAAAATTTTTCCTGAAGGTCTTAATTTTCTTGGAACGTAAAAGTAACATGCTGAAATGAAGGTGGGCAGGAGTGGGTGAGCAACCTGGGCCCAGGCAGTAGAGATTTAAAATAAGTACTATAAGGGAAGAGAAATAAACTGCCTAGGGACAAGAAAAAAGACTGCCAAACTGTGCTGACACAGGCTCTCCACGTCCTTCAAAAAAACAGATCTGAAGTGGCATTTGTCAGCGTTATTTCCTCCACAGCCCACGGCATTCCCAGGGCAGGGCTCCACCAAGCCAGGGGTTGGACTCCAGTATGTGTGCCGATTGCATGACAAAGAAAAGCAAACCAGGTTCCTTCACTCTAACAGAATACTTCAGTGAGCTTTAGAACTCAGAGGGGAACATGGGGTCTGCACCCCGACTCACCATTTAGCTTGTTCTCTGCTAACATTTAAGCCAGTGCCTGAGTGGAGGTTGGTCCTGTTGGTTGGCTCTTCAGTCCAAAGGAGCTGACCTGGGTCTAAGGCAGAGACGGGCAGGTCAGCTCCATTGCTGACCAGGACCACGGGAGTGTCTACAGCCACAATGCACGGATCCTCAAGGAGCAGAGGAGGGGCAGCGGGGGAAGGTAGTGCAGCCACAGAAGGTGGAGGGACAGTGGATTTGGCTTTGCCTGCACTCTGCTCCTCGGTCCCGGGGACAGTCTGCTCAGGCTGAGGACTCTCCACTCCGGCCTCCGAAGGCTCTCCTTTGAGATCAGATGCCCTGGAGGTCACGGTGTCTGAGGACAGGCGAGACGTTGTTGGTTGCTTGCCAGGTTTCTTCTTGCCCTTTGTGGTCCCCACTGTCCCTGTCTTGCTAGCAACTGTCTCTTTCGAAGCTTTGGGACGTGAAGAGGTGGATGAAGTAGACGGTGAAGCTGATGCTTTGGAGCCCATTGGTTTTTTGGAATGAGAAGAACCAGCTAAAAATGGAGAGATTTTGCATTAAAAACTGAAGAACAGAATGCTTTTAAAATAAAGTGACCAAGTTGCAATTGGCACTGACATTTAAAACGCCCCCTTTAAAATTTACTGGATAAATGTAAGAAAATTGGCTAATAGTGGTAATAGTCTTGTTTTCTGCCCCCTCCACGCCTCTACTCTAGGAGGGAGGAAGTGACACAAAGGGCCGAACTAAGAAACAAGGGCCTGTTATCTTCCTCTAGTTTTGGCTGGACCAGCGAGAGGGGAAATCCTCAGCTCTATGTCACCTGAAAAAGTTCTTGTAGGCTCCAGAGATATGATAGTGTGGAGAGGACCACCACCAGCAATGAGCTGGGTACAGTACACAATTGGGCTCCTCAGAAATTTTATGTGTTCCGTGACATATTTCTGGGAATGGGGAGGTGGCTCATATTTATAAGAAGCCTGGGTATATACCCCCAGTTTCTTTCTGGGTCAAAATCAGATACTCTCATCCCACTGCTAGAAGAGTCTACTCCAAACCAGCTGTCCCCATAACTCCAGAGAAGGAAGCCTGCCCGTCACCTGTACTGCTTTCCACTGAGGAAGTGATACGTGATAATACGTGGTTGTGTAGGAGAGGCAGGCCACCTTCTAAAGGTCAAAAGGCAGGGAAATTGGTTTTATTCCAAAAAATATTTATATTGGTGTTGTCTGAATAATTCAGAAGGACAGAACTTCTGCCTGCACTTTGGCAAGTCTCATCTTCCTTATGACTTATATGCTCTCTGGTGGACTGCCATGGTGCACCTGCCTACGGTGGACAGGGCTGGCTCCAACCAAACTATTTTCAGGAACACAAAGTTAACTGTCCTCTTCTTTTTGCCATCTTAGGACACGTACTCAATCTCCTGTGAGAATACTGTATTGTTCCACGGCCTTTATGAACTACAACTTCTTTGAGTTGTTTCTTCCCTTATAATGCTGCACATTCCTTCTTTTCACAGGGGTAAGAGGGCTAAACTCTCACAGACTATTAATTTTTTTTTTTTTTTCTCCAGTACCAGGAACCGAACTCACGACCTTGCGCTTGCCAGGCAGGCGCTTTTGCCGCTGAGCTAAATCCCCAGCCCCTCTCACAGACTATTAGAAAAATATCTTGTTAGTATAGTAGAACCAAACTGCATTGCACACAGATGTTACAGTAACTTACCTCAGTATACCGAAGTCAACTGGGAGAGTCAAGAGATGGAGAACAAATACAAAACTAGACAATGAAATGCAAGACTTCATGAATTTGGTATGCAGAAAAGCCAATGTCAGTTAGTGCCAAGATCTAGGCTTAATACAAATGGCTTGCTTTGGGATCTTTGTAATTTAGATATAAAAGTAGCAGACCCCACCCCCAGCTTCTTGACTTGTTACTATATCTTCATAGTTAACAACCTTTACTTGTATACAAGTGGAATTCACTAAGCATACTCTTCCAATTTAAACACTTTCTAAGTTTAATTTTTTTTTTTTTGTCACAAAGATGCTAGGGATTAGGTGCCTAAATATGGCCAATTATTTTCTTCAGTAAATTAAACAGAATGTCTTCAACACATAAATTTTAATTTTTTTTGGGGGGAAAAATCTTTTCTTTCCATCAAAAAGTAGAAAGTTTAACCTGAGGCAGTCTTTTAAGGAAAATGGTAATTTTTTCAATGCCTGGAGCACAAATTCAAGCCATATTATATTTTTCTCTAATTATATTCTAAAATGACAGGACTTGGCTGAAATCAACCTTCACTTAAAAAAATGCCACCTCTCAGTTAAGAACTTTTGTGGTTAATAATGTGTAATAGTGAGAATGAAAAAAAAAAAAATAAGGGAGACTTACCCTCACCTCCCTGGGAAAGCTGCTGAATGACAGGTTATCTGGTTTAAGAACTTAAAACATCTGACTGAAAACCAAGAATTTGAACTAACTTTTCTAGGAGGTCAACATTATTCAAAAAACATAAAAGTACCATGCAGAAAATTCTAAATGGATACACAGGGAGCATCAGCTGGGCTCTGAGGAGTATTATCCATATTGGACAAAAGGATTCTTTCTCTCTTTTCTTTTGGTGCCCAGAATCAAACTCAGGACTTCATGACTGGCAGGAAGGCACTGTGCCACTGAGCTATACCCCACGATAAAGGGATTCATGCACAGTGGCCTTTTTGGTATTTTTAATGCAACCCCTGATTATCTGTGACAGCTTTGGAACAGTCATACTCTTACTTGTATAAATGCCCAACCCTCTTATATGTCAGACAATGGATAAAATGACCACTATTCTCTTATGAACATCAAGAGTCTATGAATGACATGAAGAGTCTCTAAACACGCAAATAAAGTATCTGGAGATAATTAAAAAAATCTGTCGTGAAAGCTGTCCCCTGCCCTTACATTCCTCGCCAGCTTCTTCTGAGAATCCTAGCTGAGGCTGTAGTGAGCCCTCAGCATGTGGGGAAAGGTAAAGTGGGACGCTTGTGCAAGACAGGATCTCAGTTCCCAAGGGCAGACTCATAGTCAGGGCTTTCCTTTAGGAAGTAGCTCAGTGGCAGCTTCATCCCAGGTGTTGCTCCTGGACTTGGCCAGGTGGTCTGGGGGACACACACAGACAACAAGCTGAGACACTGAGGCAGGAGGGAGCCAGTACTTAAGGAAATGGTCCCCAGGGACTGCTGGCACATCATTCTGAGACATTCCATTTTAAAGCTGAATAGAAGAGACTCAGACCTAAAGGTCAAAAGCAGGATGAAAAGATTGCAGGGAGAGGGATCTATTTGCCTTCAGAGAGCTGTTACACTATCAACTAAATCATTCTCTGAGTATTATGGGTATAAGCACCAAGGAAAACCCTGGTAAGCAATTGCTAGAAAGCTGCTGCTAATTTTAAGGAAAATAAGACTTGTTATAGTACACATGCATATTTATGCATGTTTACAGTGAAAATCCACTGAGTATGTGGATTTGATTAGTGCTCCTTTAAAGGCTAGATGACATCATAGGCATCTCTATTCCCCACTTCACTATAAGAACAGGGGCGCCATTTTGCATTAAGCATATCCAATTGGAAAGGAATGATAGATGACCAATACATAAAGTTAAATACAACAGGAAAGCCAGACATCCTACTGGTGATTTGTAGTAGAAACTTGGAACCTCACCACTCAAGGACGCTTTGCCTTAGAACAAACTGAAATCTACTGAAAGGGATGCAGCAGAGGGAGTAATGAGCATATAACTTTCAACTCCACTGGGACTGCTTTGACTGGAGGAGATGCTAAAGATTTAACACACGATAAGCCAGTAAAGATGTCAAAGATGTATCATTTTTGCATATGAATCTAAGATATTTTGAATGAAAATCCAATTGAAAAAGCCACCCACAAACTCTAGCAGGCAGAAGATCCATCAGTATTTAAATAATGTTATATCAGATCATCACCCTTCATCAGGCATGCTATACCCCGTATCTTTGAACTGGGTCCCTTGTGTTAAGAGCAGATACCAAGATGAACGAGCCATATTTACCCACAACCTAACAAGATGAACTAAGCAACCAGCTGACTTTCCTTCAGTAGATAGCTACAAAGGAATCTCCTGTCATTCTTCTGTTTTTTAACCTTTATTTTTACTAGTATAGGCTTCCAATACATAGTGATTGTATCCATCATAGGGAGCTGGGACACATACTTAACACTTATTAATTCCTTTTAAATCCCTTCCTGCTTCCTCCCTCCATCTCTTGGTCCCCTTCCCATTTGCAAAAGATCCCCTTCTTTCCTATTATCTATCTTTTACTTTGCTCTTTCATTTATTTATACTTTGGGTTTCTCACATAAGAGAAACTATGTGACTTTTAAGCTTGTGTGTCTGATTTATTTAACTTAACATTATGGTCTCGAGGTGCATCCATTTTCCTATGAAGGACTCACATTAACTTTCTTTACAGCAGAGTAGTTCTCTTCGGGTCAAAGCTGAATCCATTGGTGTTGCACCCTAAGTCACCCAAAATCCTCCATGCCTCAAAGAACAGTCAGTCCCCTCCCGGAGCTGAGCCCCCTGGACTCAGCCCCCGTGCACTGGGGGGTGTACTCACCAGCCTCTTGGGTCGTGTTTCGGCTTGTTGGCTTGGGCGGAGGGACGGGGACCTGCTTACCGGGAGCCTTGGCATTTTTTTTAATGGGAGGCACTTCGTCACCTTTGTGGCTGGGCCCAGCAGCGGCCCCTTTGGGAGTCACGGGTGATTTTTTGGGTTTAGGTTTGGGTTTAGGCTTAGGAGGAGCAGGAGAAAGTAGAGCAGGAGCTGCCGGTGTTTCAGAGTGGTTTTCAGTGTTCTCTACAAATGAGAAAGTGAACAGAGCAGACCGATAGACACACACCACAGAAATGGCAGGAGCAACACGTGACAACAGGGTTACACACACGCGGCTGCTTGGCCCTTGGAAACCAGATGGACTTTTGCACCAGGAAAAGGAAACGACAAACTCAAGTGTATTCTCTGGGTCCATCAATCATTCCCTTGTTTAAAGAAAAGTAACACAAGTGACTCTGAAGATGTTATACTAAGAATGAGGAAAGGCCCACAAGTCTGGGGCCTTGGGTCCAGCCTCACACCTGCAGTTGCCAGGTGATGGCATGGGCACTGAGTGCTAATTAGAACAAATTTAATAATTTAGCAAAACTGTAGGGTGCTCAAGAATGACACGAGTGTGTCACACACACCACCATGGGCGTGAGGACTGAGCCATGGCATTGACAGACTCACACTTACCTCCCAGAACTCAAGCCCAATCAGCTTGAAAGGGATTTGTGTTTCATCTCAGTGTGGTCAAAATCAGTGGTGTCCTAAGCTACAGGAGGCACGGGCGCCATCTCCGACACGAGGCGCAGCGGCCAGCGCAATGAGCTGCTTCCTACTGTAAATGTTCGCCCGCTCTCCCAGCACGCCAGGGAAGCTTCCTGCTCCACAGGAACTTCCTCTGCCCTTTCAATTGAGTGCCACACTTCAAGGTACAGAACCCCAGAAAGATTTGCTTTGTTTTATAATGTAATGCAAATAGTGATTTTGAAAAGACAAAGGCCAGGAAGCATAGTCAAAACTGTGTACCAAAGCACAGAAGCCTCCACAGGTGTTGTGTAACTGGACGAGATAGAGTAATTCACTGCTCATTAAAGAAAGTGGAGACATCGAGGGTCATTCATACATTCACATCTGTATTTTTTCTACTCATGACTGAAATTATAATAAACAAAAAAATGGTCTGTTTCAAAGAGCTAAGCAGCATTCCTTTAAAAATGGAGCACAATACAAAAACATAAGACAGTGTTAGGACCAGGCTTAGCCTTAATTGGATATATCTTCCCATGTTTAAATGACCAGAAAAAGGGTTTTAAAATTGGCAAGCATCGTATTTTATTGTCATTTTCTTGTTTCTTATCCTAGTATGTGTAAAAGGAGGACTTCTCTTTTTCTAACCCATTTGCTAATCAACCCCCCCCACACACAAATATGTTGACCATGCTAATGGTTTAAATTAGAGCAGCTAATAAATAAAACATAGTTTCTCAGCCATGAAACCCTCCCAAGTCACTATAGCCCAAACTGACCTCTCTCCCCATCCCTATTCAGTCTTTTTGCATGAGATACTTTTTCAACACTCATCAGAGGCCACGTTGTACTTTTGCCTTTCTCTTTATGCATCTTCTCTCCTGCACTAAGCCACTTAGTGTTCATACTACAACAGTAGTCTCCTAACCTGCTTCATGTGAACCAGCGGCAAGTCATCACCAAAGTCCATTAGAGGATCAAGAATGATGCAAATTGACACACAGCTAGAACATTAAATTTCAACATAAAATATAAAACATACATTGACTTGCCGGTCTCTTTGCATAGGAGGAAGCCTACCATTTTAAGTCTGTCTCTGTAACTTTAGCCTCTTGTGCATTACCTTGCATGGAGACTCAGCCCAATCATTTTGTCCAAGGGAAAGCAAAGTGGTTTGAGGCCTTTAGCATCATAATTTCTCCATATTGAAAGCCCATGTCTCAACTTTCCCCTTCATGACAGCGGGACTTCTTTGCTTTCTGCTTAAGGTTTTAAATTCTAAAACTATACAAACATAGGTTGAGGATGTATCTCATTGGTAAAGCACACACTTAGCACACACAAGGCCCTCCCTGCATTCGATCCCTAGCACCACAAACACATAAAAACAAAATAAATGACATAAAATCCTAAGGAACTCAGCTTTTGGGTCTGGGACAGAAGAGATGGTTCCCTCCGTGACTGTTGGAATGGAAGTCCCCATGGGGGCGACAGTGAACACACTGTACATGGACTCTGCTGGCTCGTTGGAGAGCACAGGCCACCTCCCTCTGCTCTTTGGATTCTACCAGTTATGGTGCCATTCTGAGGAGACCTTGGTGGTGTTTGTGCATTTGCGTGCATGTGTGCACACATGTGTGAGTACGCAACTAGTATATTTTCTCATTAAATGAGAAACCTCTTTTGTCTGAAATTTTACATCCCATCAAGCACTATGCTGTACAAGTCATGTGCATGCACTGAAAGTGACTGACTGCCTGGCAACTACTCACACAGTCTGTAGAAAACACTCTTTAGTGATATGTGGGGTGTGAGAGGCAATAACTTTTTCCCATGACTATGATCTGAAGACATGACATAAACTGAAGGAGTGAAGGAGGTTACTGAAGAGCTGCCTCTTCCTTCTGCCTTCATAAGGACATGAGGCTTCGAAACAACACAGTCCAGAAGACAATCTACTGGACTTTCAGGCTTGATTCCTTCCACCATATAAAGGGGTGAGCCCAACAGTGCTCAGAGGACATGAGAGCTGCATGTGTCCTGCAACTGCCCTAGCATGCATTTTGGGCCCAGTTCCTCTCCTTAAGCATACTGCCTCCTTCATGTCTTAATTTAGAAAGATTTTACTCTCAGAAACAACTCTGGCCTCTGAGCAAGCTCTCCTGGCCAGCTGAACTCAGGCCTTCCACAGTACTTGGCATTTGCACTGTGATTGCATGGCTGTGATCTTCTCTCCTCCTAGCATGATCTGCTTAAGGACAAAGGCTGTTTTTCATTCTCCGTTCTTTTCCTGACACCCCTCAGCCCCGCTAGAATCTCATTCATGGTAGACCTCCATCATCACTTGGGGAACAAATAGTTATTCATCAGTGTTATTCCATTGAAAGCCCTTCAAAGGAGCTCAATAGAAATAATGTCAAATAACTCAAATTTCTCACACTTAATACCGTGCTATATTTAACAGATTGCAGGTCAGTTTTTCAGCCTCTAATAGATTTAAGGACATTTACAGAGAAAGAATAGTGGGAGACTATGAGCCCCAAGAACCTTAAGGAGGAAATCTCCAGTATTAGGAGAAGGAAGCCTCAAACCACTGTACCAATTATGGAATCAGGTGCCTTAAGGAACCCCAGAAAGACCCAGCACCCTGGGCAAAATCTACCCACAGAACGAGTGTGAAGGATACCGTCTGCCACTGTGTTTTGCTTTCTTCAACACTGATGTTTCCACTATTAAAATACTGCGCTACTGTCTTACGCAGAGACATTATGAGGGCCTAGGATGTTAAAGGCACATGTTGTGGTTTTGCAAAATATCCAACTAATAAATGAAATACCGCTCTTAAGTAAGTCGGCTTTGTGCAGGAGGAAATGCAGTGCTGCACCCCCAAACAGAGGGTGAATTAAGGACATGGCATGGTGGGTTTGCATGATAGTGAGCTCACACGAAGACTGAGACTAAAAGAGGAATAGGAGTGAATCAGGCTGATTTTCAGAATTAAATGGTAGCTTTCTAAAAAATGAGTCTTCAAACCAAAAAAAAAAAAAAAAAAAAGATTCAAGTACCATATTTTAAAAAGAATAAAAAAAAAAATGAGTCTTCATCCTTGCTCATAAGGCATTTATACTTAGCATAATTCTATAATCTGAGTTATGAGTGACACTCTTTTTAGTCTCAGGAGATGGGCTTGCATGCCTCATACTTCTCTTCATTATCAGTATGGTTCTGTGTGGGCTCTGTCCGTGCAACATGCACAAGCCATCCTGCCTTATTAGGCACCAGCACCTAAGGCATCTCCATCTCCTCCTCCAGTGGACAGCCAAGCAAGATGCTATCTTGGACCTTGTTTGATCACAAAGAATGACCTCTACTAATCTGAGGTGAAGAATAACAAGACAAAAATATCTGTCAACCATTTATGGGTCTATACGATCTATCATCTTTTTACAAGGTAATGGCCTACTGGTTTAACTAACATAAACCTGTCAGCAGCTTTTTGTCAGGTTGATAAAGGAAATACTTCCTTTGAAATCTGGACAGTCAGTGACTGACAATGACACCCACACAGACCAAGGATCAACCACAGATGGACCTGAAATTTAACAATTTGGTGATATAGGACAGTTAGACTTAAAAAACAAAAAACATTACCATTTACATTAATCTGAACTGAATCCCTTTAAGATTTAAGTCTACTTTCTCTGTGTAGTCCAGAAATATTATTGAGACAATGTTAATATTTCATAATGAGTGTTCATCAGCTTAACTAGTATTCTTCAGTGGAACAAGACTAACCCTAATGTTAGTTAGTTACTAATGTTCCATGAATACTGTGTTTAATAATAAAAGAAAACAAAATAAAACATTTTTAATAGATCATTAACATAGGCTTCTAAAACTATTGAAGCTAATTTATATGCAAATAAGTACATGGTTGTGGACTTCTAGAGAAGATAATTTTAAGTTATCAGATCTAATAAAGCTCTTTAGTTTTCTTTGTCTTTGGAGGATTTAGGTTAAGAACAGAGGAAGAAAAGTTCACTTTTGCAGTTTCTAAAGTTATCAAAATACCTACAAAACCCAAAGAGCATCTGACAAACTTTTTCTATCCAACTCAGACTGACCTAACACAACAGGAAATAGCCTTTTCCCTCAGGATTCCTTTCAGTGTAGCATGGGGTCATCTAGAAAGTCCCAGGAAAACCTCTACAGATTTTAGTTCAAGGTTTCCATGAGTGAAGTTCTGGGGGTCTTGGACAGACATACATTTTGCAAGTACCTGAATCTACCACAGCACATTCACTCCAGAAACCAAAGTCTCTAAAGAAGCCTTTAGGGGAGTGGTATAATCGACCCTGGCACATGTTGAAATTTCCAACAGCACAGACAAATCACAGAACAGAGGGTGGAACAATCAAATCGCTGCCATTGGGAAGTGTTTCTGGGTCTCTCTTAGAAATAAACGTCTAGAATCTACAGTATTGGGTGTGTGGATGCTGACGGCCAAGTTTCACTGCGATAGAGAGGGTGCTAGCCTGAGAGCCTCGTAGGCTTTGGTATGTACTACTCTGTGTTGAGCTGCTCCCAGGAGCCAGTCGAACCTGCTGAGAAAGACGTTTAATCTTCTCATGTTTAGGATCCCAACAAAAAGCTCCTCAGAAAAGGAGAATAGTCCCAGACATCTCAAACGCTTGAAGAGTCCACTGTCCCATGATTACCCTTCATCAGCCCTCTGTAACAGCAAAAACTCAAGTGACATGCTTATAAAATGGACGCGTCTATCTGAGGAGATCATTTCTTATCTTTTCCCTGGTTATTAGTTCTCTCCTTGCAAACTACTGGTTTTAGAGCCACTGTTTGGAGCCTAAGACCTGCTTCTCAATGCTGAGCTGCACTAAAGGAAATAATGTGGGTTTCTCTTTATTTTACCTTTCTTATCTTCTGCCTTTTCCTCCCGAGGTGGTGTTTTCTCAGATACAGAGCCATTACCTTCTTCAGACTTCCCTACATTCTCCTCTTGGGTAGATTCCTCTCCGATGGGTATCATGTGCCCGTTTGAATTTTCAAAGTTAACTGTTACATCTCCATCTAAAATGGGAAAGAAACACCTAGATGTCTAATTTGATGGCGTTCTTAAAAACCGGTTTCCCGGACACTATGATTACAAGATCTGGATTTGTGCTTCTATCCCTGGGAGTCAAATCACCACGTCTTACTAAATAATTTATTTCAAAGCAAAAGCTAGAAAATCCTTAATTTTGGGAATAGCAACTACGGAGGAAAAAAAAAATCCTCATCCCATTTCAAGACAGTAAAAACAGTTAGCCTAATTCTGGGGTCCCCAGGGAGGCAGAGTCTCTCTGTTCCGGGGCTAAGATTTTGTTGAAGTCAATACTTTGGTGTTTGTTTTTGTTATCCAGAAACTGAATGGTGAAAGGAATAACCTGCAAAACGGAATAAACATTTTAACATGCACCAAAAGCACAAGGTACACAAATAACATGAAATGCAATTACACATACAAACACTTAGTGGGACAATAAGAAAATTTCCAAGCACCACTGTCTTCAGAATATATCATTATATATGACACAGTAACTTTACACAGGTATAATTGCTACTCTGTGTCCAGAGAATAGATGGCACCAAGGTTAATTTTATTTTTATATCCTTATTTATAGAAAAGTTAAAATGTACTCAAGTTATTGTTAATATATAACAAACTAAAAGGTCGTTCAGACAGCATAATAATAACTAAGAAGACTAGGAGAAAAAAACACAAAAAGTAATTACAGAGGAATTTTTAAAAATCATAACTTGAAAACAAAATTTCTAATATATTATATGACATAAATTATTTTAATCTCTGACATTTTGTATTTTCTGAGGGTTTTTAAAGTGAAAGAGGTTTCGCAGAAACTTAATTCAGTCATGTGTGAAAAGATTACCCTTAAGTTCATCTGTAGAAAAGTGTAAGAGGCTGTGCTGTTTCTGTAAAAGTCCAGTTAATTAATTGAAGTACTGATTGAGCAGACTTGAAGAAATGCACAATTAGAGCTGCTTCTAAGCAATTTTTGATTAATCTTATTTTGGCAATCATTAGAAAACACAGAGCATGTTCCAAATTTTCATTGATTTGGTTCAGCAATAAACTTCATTGGCCTTCTGGACAAAAGCAGGCAGGAAATTTTAATGAGCAAAATAAATATCATGGAATTGTGTCATGCTGAAATGAAAGCAAAATTGTTGCTCAGTCATATGACATCTAAGGATTTATACTCTAATTTCTACATAAAATTAAAACAGATAACGGTTGCAGGCAATAACATTGCCTTAATCTTAATCTTAACTATTTCAACAAAATTAAGGTAAGAATTATTCTATCCCCAGCAGTTAGATATAAAAAAATGGAGAAGACACAATATACCCAGATAAAATAAAAATGATATAAAGATCATAAATCCATTCTTTGTATAAAAATCCTCACTTTTTGTTAGCACAAATAAAACTTACATTGTTTATTTTATTTTAGTTGGAAATAAATATATGTTTAAGTCACATTAAAGACAAATTAATTCAATTTTCAGCAGTTCTATTTAAACTCTTTAGTTGTTTAAATAACTAATTTCTTAAAAAAAGAAAGACAGAAAAATAGTTAGGTCACAAGAAGAAATCGTATTATCTATGATAGCAATAGTCAAAAATGTGGAAAGATGCTTTGAAGCATGAGAGAAAACTAAAGCATATAAATATAACTAGAAAAAATAGACACGTCTGTAATAAATATAGAATTCAAGAAAGAAACAGAGAAAAACTGAAGGTATTAATTAATTAGTTTACTATTGAAAAGGTTTTCTAATACTGTGTGTTAAGAAAACTGTCTCAGAATTGAAGTAGGTTAAGTCCTGACATAGTGCATATGTAAGCAAAGAGCACAGAAGACGCTGAGCTTGGTATGGGTTGCAGGAAGAGGCCCAGGCGCACACGCCTATGCAAAGAACAGGAACTCAAATTACTGCAGGGTTAAACTAAAAAGCAAAAGAAAGTACACACAAATACATACAAGAGTGTTTAAAACAGCTTACTTCTGCTAAACGGGGGGGAGGGTAGGGGAAGGAATTAAAGAAGGGGCAACTATGAGGAGAAAATCATGTCTGGTTCAGAGGTAAGGGACTCAGTACAAAGGTTAAACTACCCCATGAGAGAACAAGGCAGGAGCATGGCAGGTAGGCCACAACACCTGCATGCCCACATGTTAAAAGTGGAGAGCAAAGATGGAAGGAAAGAGCCAGAGATAAGAACTGAACTTGGAGTGGACTATGGGTCATCTTCTCAGGACAGATCAATGGCTGGGATACTGGACTGAAGTTAGAACTTGGTATGAAAAAGACAATCTGAATAAAATACGAATAACGGCTGAGAGTGATAGTATGGGATAGGATGGGTTGAGGTCAAAACCTGGGTGGATTTAAAAATTCTGTCTGACCCATGAAAAAGGGCACACCTGACAAGCACTGTCAAGAGCCCTGCAAGGTCAAAGAGATCAGCACTAAGAAGAAAGCTGCACTGGCAGAAGAGAGAAGGCTGTCACCAGAATGGCAGCTCCCGGTCTCTCCCACTGGAATTCTCAAGGTAATTTGTTTTTGGGAAATTGACAGAAATCTACTTCTCCAGCCCTTGGCTGGAAGCGAGGATGTTATTTACAATAGGTTCCCTCAGGGTCTTGGAAATGTTACGTAATTTTTGTAGTTCTATATGGGGATCATGCAAAAGGTACAAGAAAATGGACTAGGACTTCCCAAACATTAAGCCTTTCTATCATGTTTAGGTTAAAAATTGATGTGTTCTTTTATGTTTTCAAACTTCTAACGTTCAGCTGCAAAAGATAAACAAAAATGTCAAAGACAGTCAGATTTCTAAGAAACAAGTATATGTTAGCCACATAGTTCAACAGATTAAGCAAAATAAAAGCCAACTGACATTAAGTATTTTTAAAAAACTGACCATTGTTATTTTCAGAAAAAGTAAAATAATTTTCCACTTGTAACTTTTAATTAGGAAAAAAAAAAACAGGCCACCAGTCTCTATCTTTAAATCTATTTTTAAATGGTAAAGTTTTGCTTTTTTTCTTTATTGGAAATATCTTCAAATACAAGATATCAAATAAATGCACTGGGCACTCCATAAAACTGATGATTTAGTGTCCAGTTGCCAGTGGCTATGTAATTTCTCTACTGCTTCCAGACAGGCTGGGCCTGAAATGAATTCTGGTATTGGCATGCTTACCTTCAAATTAAAAAGGTTAAGGATGTGCATTTTTTTATTTTAAAAAGCTCCAGACAGGAAATAAATAGGTTCAAGGAAACAGAAAATTGGACAAGACATAAAGTTCACTTACAAAGTGGAATAAGAAAAGTCTGACAGGTCAGAAATTAAAGTAAAATAGCTAGAAAAATAGCATTACTATATTTTCTTGAGATCCACAGCCACTTTTTCTGAGGTAGGAGTAAAATATTAAGGCATTTCACAAGCATTTGGAATTATTTAGATATTGGAAAAAGCATGTCATTTCAATTTATAAATAGCAAATGCCAAAAAATATTACATTCTTTCCAAAGAACATATATCAGAAAAAGAGAAGTACTATTATATCAATTCCAAATTAATAGCATTTTAATTGTTCTCATAAAGTTTTAATAATACTACTTTCCTCCAATACACTTAAGAGGAAGACGAGATAAATCAACATTACAGCAAATTCCTTCAGCTTTAACAGTAGTTAAAGATAATCATTATTATTTATTTGGAGAAATAACAATGCTGGTGTGTTTTTTGAGGGCCAGTCCTGGTTTCAATCTAGCCTTGTCTTTTCTGAGCAAGATTTTCCCCTTTGAGAGGTTAAAGGAAAAAGGAAAGATTAGAGGAAAGAAAAAATACTTGGAACTAATCCTTGTTAGTGACAAAGTGAGAGGAAACTAGATTCAGAGAAAAAGAAAGAGAAAATACTAGAAAAAATTACTTGAGAGAAAGAAGAAAGCAGACTCATGTGCCCATTCATACCTTACTGTTTCTACATTTGAGTATATTACAGAGGACAAGAGGTGAGTTTGTCATCCCTTTACTGATAGTCTTAAGAAACAGATAAGGCATGAATAAGATAAAATTGTATTTACTCAAACAATTGAGTTTAACTTGAATGGAAAGATTAAAGCTTAAGAACAGAGAAGAGAAGATGTTATGCAAGCTTTGTATCTTTATCTGTATCTAGCCACTGAGGTACCTGCATAGAGGTTTGCATTTAGAGTGATCTATGGTGAAGGATTCACCAGAAAAGTCACTGGATTTGTTTTCTGTGACAACTTGGATTCTCTGCCACCCACAAAGCCATCCAAATTAAAGCAAGATTCTCAGAGTGTATTACTTGCCGCTTTGTCTGACAAAGACCATAACTGCTTTAAATTTCAAAAGGAAAGGAAAGAACAGCCAGGAAGTGAAGGATCAAATTATTTTAAATTATGATTAATTTCCTCACCTTGATCAGGCAATTCCTTAATCACGCCCCTTCTTATCAGCTCCTCTCTACTTTGTCTGGTGGATATCTTCCTCTCTAACACTTTCAAAAAGAATAAGCACAAGTAAGAATCAAGTTATTGCTTACAGTAATCACGAATAACATTCCAAATAGAATTGAGTACAGTCATTCTGATCACATAAGGGCCCAGACTCCATGTTTTGTTTTTTGTTTTTTGTTTTTTTTTTTGTAAAGTAGCAAAACTTGTGTTTGGAGTTAAACCAGCATAGCTAGGATAAGAGCAAGTGATGTCAACGCAGACACTGTCTGTGATTTTTCAAATGATAATTTTTGGTCAAGAATCCAGACATACTATTCCATACCAACTATAGAGTACAGGGCCACCTCACCTCAAAATACTGCTTTCTTCAGTAACAATGCATTCTAAAACACATGCTTCTATGAATATGCAGTGTACGATCAGGATACATATATGTATGTTTAAAAACAAAAGCAACCCATGAACTTCCAGGAAATATTCAGTGAACTCATAAATTCCTGAGAGAAGAGACTAATTTTGTGTTTTCATCATACACCATCTATTATAAAACTGCAACATAGCAAATTTCCTTGTCTTTTTTCTCCCGTACTCTCAAATTCTAGAGAGTTCTGGTCTATCCCCTGAGAAATCCCAAGTGTTATGAGGACAGACAAGGGAGGTAAGAATGGGAAGCTTTTTTGTTTGTTTGTTTTTTTTGGTTTTTCTCCGGTACCAGGAACCGAACTCACGACGTTGCGCTTGCCAGGCAGGCGCTTTGCCGCTGAGCTAAATCCCCAGCCCCTGGGCAGCTTTGACAGGCATGTGGAAGGTGTGAATCTCCACACTGGTCCTTCCTTTTTCAGGATGAAATCTATATTCCTGCTACAACTTTAGAATGGAGCTTGGGAGCCCCAGTGCACCACCTCAGTATTTGTACCTCATTTTAGTCCCCGAACCCTATAAGTTTAGGTAACTCCTACCTCCATGTCCCACTTTTAGAGGACAAGAAGGAATCTAAATTTAACACATGGCCATGTCATCTACTAATCCTTTGAGTGAACCTTCTCCAAAGATCCTCTATTTAAAAAGTACCCCAACCTAGTACAGATGAGCCAGATATGGGGCCCAAGGTACTTTATGGAAAAAGAAATGTACACCCATAGAGCCTAGGAACAGCCTAGATTTCTGATCTTTTTCAAGATTCCTACTCTGGCCTGATAACTTGCAAATCTAAGAGCTACTCTGCACAGCACAATCTCAACTCAATTAAAGCCAAAGGAAAGCCCGTGACACTGGCCCATGCCTTGAGACATACAAAAGGAGCACAGGACAGTGCTAAGAGCACATTTTTCTCTGCTTTAGGTGGTCTGAAATGAGGATGCCGAAGCGAGAGAGGAGTGGGAAGGTGTCCCTTGGGTCGGAGCTCTGCATTCTGCACATGAAACTCTTCTGTAAGTGTTTACTAATAGCATGAACCCCAGAATAGCAACACTTAGTTTCCTGATGAAGTCCAAATGGTTTTTCTTTTCTGATCACTAGGAACTCTGTGTGTGTGTGTGTGTGTGTGTGTGTGTGTGTGTGTGTGTGTGTGTGTTTTCTACGCTGGTTGTTAAAAGGTAAAGTGCAACTTGATATTTAACATAGATTTTTTTCCTTTGGTCTTTTAAAAATTTGTTTTATTTTATTATTACTATTATTAAGTTTATTGGTACAATTTAGATACACATAATGATCACATTCATCATAGGGAATTTGTACCTGTACATGATATATTTTGATTCCTCTTTCCCATTCCCCTCTCCTCCCTTCAACCCATCTTTCTTCCCCTCCTTATTTACAAGGCTTTGCTTCCATTTTATCTTTCTTTTCTCATTTTTTTCTTTTCCCTTTCTTCCTTCCTTTCCCCCTCCCCCTCCTTAGTTCCCCTTTCCTTTTGAACAATTTCTTCCTACTTCACAGTATCTATTATACATTTTGGTTCTTATTTACACTTTCAGTTTCTCATATGAGAGACAATGCAATATTTACACATTTGTCTGATTTATTTCACTTAAGAGCATGGTCTCAAAGCCCATAAAAAAATCAACAAAGAGGGGCTGGGGATTTAGCTCAGCGGCAAAAGCGCCTGCCTGGCAAGCGCAAGGTTGTGAGTTTGGTTCCCAGTACAGGAGAAAAACAAACAAACAAAAAAATCAACAAAGAAATATCAGAACTGAACCAAACCTGTGGACAAATGGACTTAAGTAGATGTCTACGGAGTGTTCCACCCCACAGTATCAAAATATACATTCTTTTCAGCAGCATATGAGATGTTTGCCAAAGTAGACCCCATTTTAGCCCATAGAATATGCTTAAGTAAATGCAAAGGAACTGACATCATCCCATAACATATTATCTGACCAGAGTGCAATGAAATTGGAAATCAATGGCAAAAGAAACAAAACTCCATAAACACACGGAAATTAAATAACATCCTACTAACCAACCAGTGGGTCATAGATGAAATTAAAGAAGAAATTAAAACAGTATCTACAATTAAATGATAATACTGATACAACATACCAGAACTTAAGGGATGCAATGAAAGTAGTCCTAAGAGGGAAATTTATAGTGGTGAATTCTCATATGTGGAAAAAGAATGAGCTCAAATAAACAACCTAATGTTGAATCTCAAATTTAGAACAAATCAAGACAAAGTTTGTAAAATGTGGAAATGTGGAAATCCAGATCATCAATATTTACTCTAATAAGATGGAGGGTGGCAATTATAAAAGTCAGAGCAGAAAGTAACACACTTAAGACTAAGAAAATAGTACAAAAAATCAATGAATTGAAGGGTTGGTCCTTTGAAAGGTTAAATATAGTTGATAAATTCTTAGCCAACCTTATCAAAAAAGAAAAAAAAAAGACTCAAATTCATGCAGATAGGAAGGAAAAGGGTAAAATCACAATGGATCTTGTGGAAATCCAGATCATCAATATTTACTCTAATAAGATGGAAAACACAGAAGAAATGGACAGATTCCTAGATACATACGAATTACCAAAGTTGCATCAAGAAGATACAAAAATCCTAAATAACCCAGTATCAGTCAATGAAATAAAAATGTAATTTAAAACTTACCAACAAAGAAAAGCCCACATCCTCATGGATTTACTGTGGAATTCTACAGAAATTTAGAGAAGATCTAATGCCATTACTCATCAAAGTCTTTAATGAAACTGAAAGAGAAGCAATACTCCCATGCTCCTTCCTGGAAGCAAGTATTACCCTGATACCAAAACCAGAGCAGGAGCCAACCAAAAAGAGAACTACAGGCCAATTTCCCTAATGAACATAGATGCAAAAATCTTTAATAAGATACTGGCAAATAGAATGTAGCAAATCGTCAAGAAGATTATACACCATAACCAAGTAGGATTCATACCAGGGATACAGGAATGGTGCAACATACACAAATCAACACATGTAATATGCCACATCATCAGAGCCAAAGACAAAAATCACATGATCATCTCAATAGACTCAAAAAAAGCACTGGACAAAAGTCCAACACCCATTCGTGATAAAAACTCTGCAGGACATTGAAACAGATGGTCTTCATCTCAATCTGATAAAAGGCATCTATGACAAACTACAGCCAACATCATACTAAACATCAAAAACTGAAAGCTTTCACTTTAAAGTCAGGAACAAGACAACGAAGTCCATTATTAACATAGATTTCATATGATGATTCATGCTCCTCCCTCTCTATGATTTGATTTCTCTTACATTTTACTTTATTATAATATATGTGCTCTTTGCTGTAAGTTCAATCAAACATTTTTGTATAGAGTCAGAATATAAAAAGCAAGAAAATGAGTGAATAAATGAGTGAGTGAATGGTCAAAAGAATGACAATAAACATTGGATGTTTTTTAGGAAACACAGAGAGAAGCCTCCCTTCCCTTCCTGTAGGCGATTCTCCTCTTTTCACTCTCTCCTCCCTCCCAGAGGCTAAGGACCACAGCTCACATCAGGTCAGGGATGGTGATTTCAAGGGATAAAGTTAACCAGGCATGGAGGTGAGGAGTTCTTCCACATAAAAAGAATGTATTATTTAAATGTGGTTTCAGTTTGTTGAGACTCTTGTCAAAGAAGACAGAATGGATATCAACACAGGAAGCTAAACAAAACCACCCCTGGGGGCAGGTGGAACATTGCTGAGACTTTTCAGGTGGTTTAGAAGGGTTCTGGGCACCACTGCCTCCCAGAGATTGTCCAAACCCAGTCAGGCTTGAAGGGCTCTGGGGTGCAGCAGGATTTTAAAGACTTCTTGCAATACACGTCTTGGTCACCCTTCTCCGCGTGGGCCCAGACACTCCCAGTTGATCACCCTAAGTTTGAGGCTGCGGGTGGCAACTGCAAAAGCAAGTGCTGCTGGTCTCAGGGTGGGTCACAGCCCCCTCACACTGCAAATCAGAATGCACTCATGCCAGCTGTCATTCTCTGTCCACCCTTTGCTAATATGAAACAGAACTCTTTGTTTACTGATTCTGCAAAGCTGCCTAAAACATATGGTTGTCAAGAGTCTTGAGTACTAGTTCCAGGACCTTGGGTGGTCAGTTCAAGTTCCTGGACTCTGACCCATGACTTGTAAAAAGAGGGAGGAGATTCACTGATCACTAAGGAAAGCCCCTCCAGCTCAAAGATTCTGTGATCCTGCGTCATAAATGAAGCCCATTCTGTAAGCTCTGCTTCAGGGACCTTTAACAACTTTCAGTCTTACACTAAAAACATATCCGAGAGCCTGGATCATATTCCTTTTACATGCCTGCCTTTCCACTGTGGATCCCAGAGGACTCTTTAGTTTGAGTTTTGAGTTTTCTGTTGCTTTAATTCTATGTAATCTCAGGAAAAGATTCCTGCTCTTTCATCCTTGCAAAGTAGAAATTCCTCCTCTGTCTTCCTTGTAAATGCTGAGACCTTGAAGCAGCGGCGTTGGCTTCCTGCCAACAATCAAAACCAACAGCTTCGTTCTTGTGCTCTACCTGCAATAAACAGGTCCTGATAGGAAAA